AGATGCCATATCGGGAAAGGAGAAGGGTTGCCGAGAGCGGTAAGTTTCGATTGTCTGAAGTCTGCCTTAGGAGGCAGGGCTCATAACCTGTAGAACAATCACTCAGCACGCGTCGTACGCGGGACTAATATGTATTAATAGTACCTGTAGAACAATCACTACGGGATGTTAATCAGTATAAGTAGACGAAGTAAGTAACAAACGTATACTCACCTCAGCACGCGTCGTACGCGGGACTGAGGTGAGCCAACGTAAATCGAAGGGAATAAGTACATTACTGGGACAAGACGTTCCCGGTACAAGACAAATGAGTCGTCGTATTCACGAACAAAACAAAGGTGAAACTTATGCGAGCGCAACAAGGCGCGACAAGACGCGTCAACGGCGCGACTAGACTGTCCGCCCGGAACACGGCCGAGGCTCGCACCACGCTTGCCTCGCCGTCCAAACTCCAACAAATCGCAAACCACTCCGCCAAATCAGTGTCGACGAACGCGTGGCCGCTGTACCCGATTGGCGCCCACGGGAGGACATGTTTTAGCCTCAATCGTTCGAACTACTAAGTTAGATGCAGGCGATCGGCAAACAACCGTACGATATACATAGCACATATTGCTTCTGCTCGCGCTCAGTCGCAAGTTTGAAGGATGACGAAACACAACACAATACCGGCGGCCGTGTCCAATGGCAGTGACGTCGGAATGCACTCGAAGCCGACGGTACTTCTTCCAGCATCTGCCAGAGAGCCAGAGCTGTCCGGAGAGTTTCGCCCAAGACACTGAGCGGCCAATGGCCAAGATCCGGACGCCTTCTGACGTTCCTCCTGTTCCTTCTGATGGACCTTCGAGGTCAGTCTGAGACATTCACATACGCTCATGCTCAAGTTCACGTTTTCTGGCACGTCACGAAGTTCGGAGCTGAACTATTGGCCTTGCTAGTTGAGATGGAGATGGGCTGCATGAGTATATCCAACGTCGAAGATTCAGGTGACGTGTCCAACACTAAGAGGAACGACACCCAAACGCCTGCAGTACACATAATGTACATGTATGGGATTCCAGTAGCCATGTGTTTTACTAAGGATCTATCCCCATAGGACAGGCACCCGACACCTGACCTGATGCAGAACTCAAATGCCTGCACCGCCGGTGACCTCGAGCGTGTGGCCAGAGACGAACGAAGCGAGGGGAGACGCCAAACTACGTGTCCGACGGCGAAGATCAGTCGCTCGAACCACAATGCGGATATAAAACGGGCAGGAACGCTACTCACAAGAGAACGCCACCCGCAGCCTCGTCGGGCGTAGCTGACCGGCCCAGGGGGATGTGCGCGTAAGGGTTCACGCCCTTACCTGCCGCCTGAGGAATGCCCAGAGCCACCTTCTTTCCGTCGATCTCAATCGAAGCTCCCGACTCCTTAGCAGCCGTCAACCTGTGCGTGCACGGACACAATTTCTGTCAGCCCACAGCGGCCGCTGCCAACAAGAGGAGATCGTACGAACCGTGTCTGGACAAAGCCGAACGCGACAGTGTTGGCGCGAACGCCGAACGGACCCCACTCCTTGGTGATAGTCTTAGTGAGCCCGATGACGGCAGCCTTGGCAGCGGCGTAGTTGGCCTGGCCGACGTTGCCGTGCAGACCTGACGTCGACGAAACATTGATGATCGAGCGGTTCTCAGTGCTGCCCTATTGGACGCGAAAGTTGTCGAAAGCTGTGTCAAATGGTACGTTGAGTCCACTAAAATCAATTACGGACCTTGATACGCAAGTAGGGGGCAGCAGCGCGGATAAGTCGGAACGGCGCCCGGACATGGACGCGGATGATAATATCCCATGCGTCGTCTGGCGTGGTGTGCAGCATACGATCGTACGTGAATCCGGCATTGTTTACGATGTGGTTGATCTTGCCGTACTTCCTGTGCGCGGCACACCAAACGGTCAGAACTCCGTGACTGATCCCGTCTTCCACTGAGCGGGGCAGGGGCACGCACGAAGGCGCGAAGACGGACGTTGGGCGGTACGTACTGGATGGTAGCGGTGATGACCTTCTCAGGGAAGTCGTCCGCGGAGACGTCTCCGCCAACAGCGATGGCGTCACCGCCCGCGAGCTTGATCTCATCGACCACAAGTTGTGCCTTCTTCTCCTCGAGACTGCGCGTATACAAAATCACGTGAAAGTGCGCACAGGGGCAACGTGGGGTCAGCGAACTCCATCGGACACGCAGCCTGCAGGCTGCGACAATTCGGGGGGACTTACTCGGTGACGACGACCTTTGCTCCCTCCTTTGCGAAAAGTAGCGCGACGCTACGGCCAATACCCTGGGATGGCACGATTTATGAGTCTCGGACGCCCACAATGGCATCATAAGGAAAGGCGCTGGTAGAAGCGAGACATACCTGGGCAGCACCTACACGTCGAGGCAAGAGGACAGCAGGTTAGCTTGGCGATCCAGAGTGATGAGGGCGGATCGAGGGAAGACCTCAATGCTCTCCGAAGGAGTGAAGGAACGCACCTGTGATGATCGCAACTTCGCCGGCGAGGAGACCACGAGGGTATGCGCCGGAGAGATGGCCAGCAACCTGCGCAAGACGATCGGCCATATTGAAACGCGTAAATGGGAAGACTGGAATGGAGGCTGTGGTGGCCGTCGAAGATGTGGTGGACGAGAGAGAAAGAGACCAGTCGGAGGAGAGGACGCCTATAACAGCTCAACCGGTTACCCCGCATTGCCCGGTCCGGGGCGCATGTTTCCCCGCCCGGAGACCGGCGCTCGTCCATCGGCCTTCATCCTCTCCCGTCCCGACTCTGGCTACGAATCCATTGATTTCAGAGCTCAGGTCTGGCCTGCGAGCTTGCAGCCCTCTTGTACGAGTTTCGAGTGTGATGTATGCAAGGTACTACAAAGGTACATGATGGGCTCTCTCAATGAATACGTTAGAGTGGGTACACTGCCGCGCGTCGTAACATGGCTTGCCAAAAGCCTCGGAGCGGCGCATGACCAGGCGGATGATCACAGGAATCCGCCACTCTTACCAGAGCCAAACCTATCTCCGAGGCCTCTCGCCTCCGTGATGAACTTGTTGCGCGTCTTGTCGTCCATGAGCCTGCCACCAAGGGCCATGTCGCGGTCGCGGTCCCAGAATGCCGGACGCTCGTCCTTGTCGCCATTGCGGACCTTCTCCGCCTCCTTCACGGAGGCGACGCGATCATGTTGCTCGATTAGCGATGCACCGCGGACCTTCCTCTGTCCGTCCGGAATGTGAGTTTACGAGAATCAGCAGCAACATCCTCCATGAACGCACCGTGTGTTCCTCGACTCCTTTCCGCACCTCTTCCTCGTATCGTCGTCGCTTCCGCGCATCGACGCTGACGTCCTCTGTAACGTCCACTTCAACAGCTCGCCGGCGCTTCCCCGCGACCTCGTCTGCGATACGTTGTTGACGTTCTGCTGGCGTTTCCGTCCATAACGAATTATCGGTGTTCCGCGAAGGCTGCGCTGTGCGTGCAAATTGACGTGGTCGAGTCAGCTTGGTGGGATCAATTGCTATGAGCCGGTGGTCAGCATACTTCAGGGCGGGTGACGACGAAGAGCTCACAGCCAAGGAGGTCAGACGAGGACGGTGGCACGAGCATCCACTCCTCTCGTTTGGGAGCTTTGGGCTTGTTTTCTTCCTGGTCAAAAGGTTAGCTCATTGCACACTTGAGCCGCAATGCCACGAGATCAAGAGTGAGGACTGGGGTATCTACAGTTTGATAGAAGAAGATTCTAGTTGATCCGTGGTGGGATGGAGTACAAACCGCGAAAACGTACCTCTAAGTTCTTTCTTCGTCGCTCTTCCCTCTCTAAGAATTCTTGAACACCGTCTTTCTCCTCCAACACGAGACCTTGAGGTAATGGTCGGGGCCCCACGTCGTCGTCATCATCATCATCGTAGGGGGTATAGGTAGGGCCAACCACAGAGGGAGGAAAGGAGGGTCCGTGAACCTTCTTGGCGCGAGCTGCAGCAAGTTCAGGAGGTAAGGCAGGCGCATATTCGTCGTCATCTTCCTCTTCCTCTTCCTCTGGTATATTAGGAGGAGGGGTTGTCGAGGCTCGGGGAGCGGCTGGCAGGGTTGGAGAGATCTGGGGCCCAATTGAAGACGGTATCTGAGGCCCGATTGACGGCGCAGGCTGAGGACCCTCGCTGTCCAACGTTTCGTCTTGTTCAGACGACGAGACCTGTGGCAAGAGGTTCGCAGGTAGGTCGGGGCCAATCATATCTCCAGGTCGTTCGATATGCAAAGGAAGAAGCAGGATGCTATTAGGAGATGTTCGCAGACAAGTGTTACGAGCGCTCAGGGGAGGTCATGCTATGTAGCGCCATTGCCACTCTCGGTCTCCTCCCAAATTGGCCCGGGCGGCGGCGAGTAGTTGTGGCCTCAACGACGGTAGTAACTCATCGACCGAACGACCTCAGTACGTCCTTTTCTGGCTCCAATGTCATGGAATCTGAACACAAACGCGTAGCGGTCGCCCAGCAGGTCTTAAGGCCTTGCGCTCTGTCATTTGCCCGCGTTTCGAACTCGGGGGACTCGGAGTGCTCAGGCTCAGCTCCCTGTAAACTCTAAGAATCGTGTTTGCAATCATTCGTAAAACTCAGGATGGTGCACACTGTCCACGGACCTGCTGCAAACGCCCTCGCCAGCCTAACGCCGCACCAGCTGGACTTCTTGAAGAAGCTTCCAAAAGCCGAGCTGCACGCCCACCTCAACGGTTCGATCCCCTTCCCCATTCTCCAGCAGCTTGCTCAAGAGCGCGAGACCTCGCTCGCTCACGCAGATGAGATATCCAACGTCCCAGAAATCGTGCGCGCAGGGCTCGAGAAGCTCAAAGCCGGCGTCGTCCTCGACCAGCTGCACGATTTCTTCGACCTCTTCCCCGCCATCTACGCGCTCACTTCTAACCCCGCGGCCCTTGCCCGCGCCACACGCGGCGTCTTAGAGCACTTCCTCGAAGAGCAGGACGGCTGCCCGCAAGCGGCGTACATCGAGCTCCGCAGCATCCCTCGCGAGACACCGGAGATGACCCGCCGGAAGTACATCGAGACGGTGCTGGACGAGATCGAGCGGTATCCGCCCGAGCGAGCGGCGTACATCGTCGCGCTCGACCGTCGAATGGAATCCCGCTTCGCCGCGGAGTGTGTCCAGCACGCCATCGAACTCAAGAACGCCGGGAGACGTATCGTCGGCATCGATCTCTGCGGCGACCCTACGGTCAGTATCGCTTCCTGGTTTACTCGCCGATTGAAAGCCGGGAACAACTACCTGAAGGTTTCGTTTCCAGGCAGGCAATATCACTGAGTTTGCGCAATACTTCCGACAGGCCAAAGAAGCCGGGCTGGGTCTGACCCTGCATATCGCCGAGGTAGGTGCTCCGCCGATGCTTAATTTCTCTGCTTACTGATTTACCGGAATAGGTGAAGGAATGCCCGCCCACAGAGACCCTCCAGCTGTTGTCATTCAAGCCCGACCGGCTCGGGCACGCAACGTTTCTAGACGATGAGGCCAAGAGGATCGTACACACCGACGAGATGTGCATTGAAATTTGCCTTTCGTCAAACCTCTTATGCAAGACGGTGCCCACGTTAGATGTCCACCATATTCGCTACTACCTCAGTCATAACCACCCAATCGCGATATGCGTAAGCCCGTCCAGCCGAATACGCGAGCAGCATTTGTCCTGATTTGACTTCACATCCCTGCAGACTGATGATATCCTCCCCTTCCGCAACTCCCTGGTCGGTGAATACGCACTTCTCATGGCGACGCCGCCATTGGGCCTCGGACTCGAGGAATCAGAGATTGAGAAAATTGCCAAGATGGGCATGAACTCTCGTTTCCGATAAGCGGAAGCGAACAAGGACGTCGTTTACTGCGGTTTTACCTAGGACTACGGAGACGGAGAAGGACAGCGTGAACGGCTAGATTGGCTCTGGTGGTATTGTACGACAGAGATGCTCCACTCGTGTACTTCGCCGTATCCACCACTATAGAGGCGCATACCCCGTTCATAATTGCGGGACTTCTTCGGCAGGACAAACTTCGAGTATATCCAGGTGGTTATCTCGTCACCACGACCGTGTGACGCTGACCGCGTGAATCCGTATTGACCTCTCGGGGGCTGAAGTCCCGGTGGATTCCAGCAGGTCGTCTTACTCTGGCGACCTCTCACGGCTGCGCCGCAATGGGAACGTTGAACACGAGAACGACGACTACTAGTGTCAAAGTCCAGGAACGACGAGCCCGGCAAGCTCTGAGGTAGTCGGCAGGTAAGAACACAAGACGACGGACTGCATGCAACGCAGTACCGTCTATACAAATATCATAGGCTAGAGGCTATTAACATGAGGCAGTACTAATAAACGTACGCGTGAATCAGCCGGGCCATGTCTGTAAGGTAAGTTAATTCTCAAACGTCTCGTTACAAGCCGTTCTCCTGTAATAGCGCCGCCAAAGTCTCCGTGACGGTCATGGACATCTTCTGCCTTTTCGGCGGAGGAGCGCCATCTACGTCCATGGCGTGTTCGCCGGCCTGCCCTTTACGTTTTCGCGCGAGGTGTGCCAGATACTTCAAGCTGTGTCGAGGAGGCGGAGCATGAACAATGTCGACAGGCGGCGCGGCGAACCAGAGCACCTCGTTCGTCTCCGGGTCGCGATCAAAATGTCTCGCTAGAGAAAGAAAAGGCAAAAACTGTTATCATCCCCCGAACGGCTCAAGGTATCCTTTGGCTGCGCACCTGTCTCCGGCGGAAGCTCTTCAATCGCAGCATTGCTTCCCAGCACTGCCAGTCCCCCAGCAGCGGCAACGATCGAGCGGTCTTCCCGAGGAGGGTACGTCTGAACATATGGAGGCTGCGTCTGCTGTTGGTACGACAAGCTCGTGGAGGGCTGCATCGGCGTTGCGGACACGCCTCTGCTCGCAGCTGCCTTCTCGGCCTCTGCCTTCTGCACCGTCGCCCTCTTGGGCCGTGTCCTAGTCCTCGTCCCGGGCCCAGCACCTCCACTCTCCGGCTTCTCCGGCTCCACCTTCTCCCCCGGGGCTGCGTTTGCATTCGCGTCCAGCACACCTCCGGGCGCGACGATTTTCGCACCGCTCAAAAAGGGGCTAGGATGCCGGCGCGGAAAGACGGGACGTTCGAACGGGTAGATCTGCATGAACTCCTCCTTCTTGCGCACCTCCTCGGGGATGCACGAGTTCCAATTCTTGATTTTCACGAACGCGCGCTCTCGGTCGTGGTAGCGCGAGTCGCAAACGTACAGCGGCCAGCCCGGGTACCAGAACGGCGGACGAGGCCGGCCGCGGACGTGCCGCGCAGTGAACTGCACCGCGATTTTCTCGATGATGTCCTCGAGGGGATGGTCTGCGAAGTGGCCTGTGAGACGATGATCGTCAGCGGACTGTTGAGGCTTGAACCAGGGCGAGTGACGCTACCTGTCTTGAATACCTCATTCTCCCAGAACTGCCTGTCGGTGGGGTGCCATGTCTGTGATGCCAAGACATTGGTCTGCGCCCATTCATTTATGTGCAGTTGACTCACCTGCTCAGGTCTGTAGTACCAACACACAGACACGCCCGGCTGTCCCTTCCGCTGGCTGTGGGGACGTGTGCCATGAGTTCGCGCCTCCGTAAGCACGAGGCTATGAACGTACGTTTCCTCAGAGACGAAGCATTTGAATACATGCGCAATGATGGGCCTACTCGGGTCATCGGGATTGCTGAGGTGCAGCCAATCCGCGAGGCGAATGCTCCAGCCCTTGTAATGTACCTCCTCCACTATCCTTTTGTCCTTTTCAGAGACGCGGAAGGTGGTCACCCTCGTAGCGGCGTCACCTTCGACAGAATGAAGAGGCGTAGCTGTACCGGGTCCCGCTGGGAGCGAGGCAAAACTGGTGGTGGACGAATACGGCGGGGTCGGTGGGTTTGAGGAGGTGAGGGCTTGGTAGAACCTCTGTTGAGGGGATATAATCTGAAGGTGAGATACTGAACAGGGGGAGTTGACGATGCGAAACGCACTTGCAACGCTAGAGCATTGCCATAAGGTTCAGTACCGGGATCATACCAACGACGCGCCTTCAGAAACAGCTGGGACATCTCCTTGTCGAACGCCTGCGGTGTTTCATAGTAGTTCATTCGGGAACGACTCTGTCCCTTACGTCTGACGCCATGATCGACAATTGAACAGACATGAGAAGCTCACCTCGACAAGGCGGAGCGAGAGGGCGTGCTAAGAAGCAGATGGTCAGACACGGTACGCGCACGAGAACGTGCGGCGCTCTCTCACAGTGAACGATAAATCCGGGATGTCCGTCTCCTCTGGGATGCCTTCTAGACTGGCAGCAGGTCGGTTGCCGCTACAGAACAGTCCTGTATGAATAAACGGGGTCATGGCTGTCAGACTTGAAGCAAAAGTGACCTCTCATCCCTATACTTGGACAACGTCGTTACAATCTCCACCATGCGGTCCTGTCAGCTTGTCAGTGTGCGGTCCGACACTTCCCATCTATGAATCCGACACTCGGCGCTCGGGAACTTACGGATGTGAGGTCTTCTGTCCAGCCAACATCTGCGAAGCCCGCCCAGCGGGGTAGGCCCTTCTCCAGCTGACGGACAATCTCCTCGCTCTCTCCATCTCTCGCCGAATCCTGAGCGACGACTTCAGGCTCTGGCGTCCCACCAATATCTACATCCATGTCTTGTGAAGGCTCCCCTTCAGGCGTCCCTGCCTTAACTGTGACGGTCTCCTTCTCTTTCTTCACGTCGCTGTGTTGTGTTTGCGAGACTCGTGTTTGCAGAGGGGAGGGGGTAGAATTGAGCTGTATAGGGGGGGAAGGCTTCGCTGGCGCCTTAGACTGGGACTTCGACGAGGACGCTGCGGTGGTCTGGGACTTGATAGGGCCCGGGACGACTGCGGCACGTTCTTTCTGGTCTTTCGACGCGTTCCCTTTCTGTGTAGCGGAAGGCGGCTTGGCTGGAGACATAGGCGGTACGGGGAGTAGTGGACGCTGCCTCCACTCGCTCTCCAGGATACCCTTCACAGTAGCCGGGGTTTGAGAATCACGTTGATGGGAATACGGGGGTGCCTGATGAAACAGCCGAACCTCACCTTCAGCGTATTGGCATCCTTCGCTATCTGACTCCCATCCTCGTTGTAATGGAGCGCGTTAAGAAAAACGAGGTTGAGGTCGATAAACGCGTCGAGCGGATTTTTATACTTGTTCTGGGCAAGATTCGCCTTCACGCCATTGATGCAGCGGGGCTGAGGGATGACCTGTCACAGCGAGCGTTGAATGAGAGCAGCATTGGGTCCTGTCGCAGAGGATTGGAACCTCATAGTACTCAGGCCAAGACTCCCTATCCACGAGGTCCATGAACATGTCCGCGAGACGCCGTTTGGCACGGCGGCTGGACGCGCTCGTAATGGCCCTGATGACTTCTTCAATAGCCGTCTTCTGCGCAGCTGAGACTGGCATCGCTGCAGCCGAGAACAGGACAGAGAGCGGGAGAGGAGAGCGGGACGGTGGTGGGACGAAGCAGGCGACGGTGGCTGCAGCGAGTCCGCCTTCGAGCCAACTTCCCAAAACGGATGCCCTCGTCCCGGCCCGGTCCTCCGGAGACGGCGCTTTCGTTGCAGGTCGTCGCTTGGATCTGCGCCACGTGGCCGATGACCCCGCCAATATGGACCTACATTTTCCTGTCAAAATACTGTGCCTCCCGACCTCGCTCTGACGACCGCTTTCAGGCAGGACCGACCCGTAATCCAGCAGCTCAGGCGGTCTGGTGGTCCTTCTTCAAGGCATAATGATGCCCTATCTCCGACAGGCTCAATACACAATCTCCGAGGGCTAATACGAATCTCTTTGACGTATCCCGCCGTGCAGAAACACGCCCACATTGCAAGCGAGCTCCGGGTACACCGTCGTCGGTATCACCACCGCCACCCGCTTCCAAGATATCGGCTATGTCTGAGTGGGTCATAGATCTCGGTCCATCTGACTCAGATTTCGGCCGGTAAGTAATGCAATCTCAGCTCGTACTTGAAGAAATCCGACTGCCACACAAAGTCGCTTCCATCGTAATTTCAGCCGAAAGGGACATCTTTCGAGCGCATCCGATGGCCTGGCCTGCGCCGGGCTTCAACGCTCACTGCGCGCCCAAGGGACCTATCCCTGTTCGTGTCCCAGTTGACCTCCTACCGCCGGCATATTGACATTTAGCGTTCTTTCTACGCACAGCGCCATTCCGCGGACGTCCTTCTGGCTGTGCGATTGCCCTCCGAACAATCCGTAGGGTAACTGGGAAGGCAGATGTCGGCATGTAACAGACCGGGGACCTTTTGTGCCCGACACGTCATGCAGATTGTAAGCTCCCCTGCCAGATTGGCTACGCCCCACGAGACCTCACGAGCACACGGTGCGATTTCGATGCCCAGTGACATACCGCGATCGTTTGAGTTGTGCTGTCGATCGGTGACTTCTCGTGAGCTGAGACGACGCCCCGGCTCTGGAGGACGTCTCGTTTCCAGCATGACCTGGCTCGCTGGCGCTCAATGTCCCTTCTTCTTCTTTCATATGTCCCTATGAAGCCTCGCGGACGGGGACGCACTTCATGCGGTGGGACGGTGCGCCATATTCGCGTTGGCGGGCGGACCTGGTGCTTTTCTGCAGCGCTCTGCGCCTTGCGCGGTTGCCAGAGGAACAGCCTCTCGCAGTACGCGGGACGAGGTGTGCAGTCGTGCGGGTGAGAGGCTGAAACCTTGCTTGCATCTAGGTTCTGCCCGCAGCGAGCGCGGACGAATTCTTGTGCCGTATTACTTGTGAATGAAAGCAGCACTGCCAACGCGATGCGCGTCTGTCGAGACAAACTCGTGTCTGCCGAGATGCCGCGCTAGCCCCGCAAACGAACGCGGCCAAGTCCAACCTTGTTCGCCGTGGGCCTCCTCCCTCACCGAACTCGTCTGGCATTCAAACCGGCCATGGCGACGGCGCAGGGCGTGCGCGCTCTGTGGCCGGTGGTTCAAGTGTTCTCGAGCGATTCCTCGGGTGATTGATCGTCGGGAGCGAGGATGGCCGTGTTGCCACGATGCATCCAAGTCCATGCGTCGAGCCCTCTGTAGGCTCTTCTGCGCGGTCAATTGGTGCTGCAGATGCCCATATTCGGATAGAACGGCGACAGGTGCGCAGGACGGCGCCACGGGAGCGAATGCGAACTTGAAAGATGCCCATGATTGCGACCCTGGCGCCCCCTGGCCGTCCCGCACAGCGGTGACTCGGACTGTATATACTCGAATCCGCAGGCGGCTCTCGGGCACGAACATGCGTCGACGTCGTTCTCAATTCTCCTCCTCCAACTATAGGGCGCACTGTGAGTGCTTTCCGTTATCGGAGCGTCTGCCACCGTCCGGAGAACCGGAAGGCAGCTCGACGAACGGGCAGGCTGGACCCGGGGGAGGGGCACTTCACGGATGTGGATAGATTCCTGCGCGCTGGAAGGAGGATGTTCCATGTTCAGTCTAAGCTTGCGAACGCAATGTTGGGAAGCGGCACTGATTGTCCAGCAGTCCACTTTCGATCTCCGTGTCCCTGCAAAACCCCACATAGGTACAGGTCCTCGTTGCTGACAACGTGGGCGTGCTTCCTTGAATTCAAAAATCATCATCGTCCAGCTTCCTTGGATATATAACTGCATACGCCTCGTCCCGCCCGAACACCACGAGCTCCTTCCCGAAACTCAGTCTCACTTGGGTCTGTATCCGAGTCTGAACGTACTCACGCCCATCATGACGCCCTCTGCAGGCTACCTCTACACTGTGGCGACGACGCCGACGCCACAACACCACACCCATGCATCCCACACGCCGACCAACTTCCTCGCAGGATTTCCCTCTGATCATGCGGCCTACCACCCGCAAGGGCCGGCATACGCTGGAACCAGCGCTTGCGCCCGAATGAGCTACTCGTATGCTTCTTCCAGTGCCGCCCCATTACCCATCTACCCGGTGGCACCGCCAGACTATCGAGTGCTTCCCCATAAAACCCAGCAGGGCGCGACGACTTGGGCAACAGCATCGACGCCCACCATGGCGATCACAATCCCTCAGTGCAACCGACTTGCTCCCACCGCGACCAGCCCGACGTCGGAGGATCCCTCGCGCAACGATGGCGATGGGTCAGAACGAGGCGAAGATCGGACGCCGCCGTCTGGCGCGAGCCGCTCGAAGGAATCCAAGAAGAAGATACATCCGTGTTGGATGTGCCACAAGAGTTTCGACAGGTGAGTGCGCGCAGTGCCTCTCGGCTTCGTCCGCCATCTGCGCCAGCGGGGAGGCTCACGATGCACCGTCTGTGACAATCCAGGCCTAGTACCTTGAAGAAGGTGAGCAAGAGCGCGGGTTGTGGGATTCTCGCTACGCGGTGCTTACTGGCCTTGCAGCACCTTCTCGTACACACGGGAGAGAAAGGTACGTAATGCGCGCCCCCTGGCCTTGGCCCGGTGCCCCCTGCCATAACCTCACCGTCACTCACGCTGCTTCCCCTCCCAGCCTTTGCGTGCGAAAGCTGTGGGCGACGCTTCGGGGTCGCCTCGAATCTCAACCGACACGCGAAGACATGTCGTGTCGCACACGCCGCCACCGCAGGCCCGGGAACGCCCGCTGCGGATGATCCCTCCAGCGAGACCGCTTCGGGCACTTCCCAGTCCCAGGCGACGTCCACTGCTACGTCCCCCGTCTCCGCGCGGGGCTCGTCCGATGCGAGCGTAGGACCGCCTGGCCCATCCGACACAGCTATCTCCACCACCAACGCCACCCGCCGCCCAGCTCGGAAGCGCAGGACTAGCGAGGACGACGTGGCGTCGCCCGAGTCCGCCACAGGAAGCACACCAGAAGCCCGTCCGCGTACGAGGAAGCGGGCCCGCCGCGCCCCCTCTCCCTCCGATTGGGTCCCAGACAGCCTGCGGCTCTTCGACCTCACGCCCATGACGAAAAGCACGCCTGTCCCGCTCCCTCCCGTGCGTCCGTTCAACGACACATACAACCAGGAGGAGCGCGACTCATTTGATGAAAACGCATCGTTAACTCCCTACCACCCGCAGGGCTGGAAGGGCCGCCTCCCTGGCCCAGGCCTGCTTGGGAACAACGTCGCGAACCGGAGTGGCGGACAGATTCTGATCTTCTAACGCTGACACACATGCATATGTATGAAAAGGTAGCATTGGTTCCAGAAGCCGCGGTCTTGTTTCATCATGACATGGTCTTAGCATCTTGAGCATATATTGGTATTCTTGCTGGCCGATTCATAGCCAAGCATCGGTCGCTATCTGTATATCATATATTTCATGGGTAGTCAGGGTATTATCAGCATTGCATTAAGCAGTCGTATGTAGCATGACAGTCTCAACGTATTACTTCACTATTTTCTACTCACCGTAACATTGGCCATTGGCAATATGACGTGCATCCACCAGCATCGGTCTACAGTACGCACGAGTGCAAGCGTGAATGTAGCGAAGATAGCGTGATAATCGCACACAACGGCGATTTCATATCGAAGTTCGTTCACATCTGTCTCTCTGATATCTTTATCTCCGAACATACTTGTCGAACAGCTTCGATCCTGCTGCGCAAGCACGTCAGCATCACTCTCGTCTACCTCATATCACCGCGAGCAAACAAATCACTCACAATTTGCCAAGTTCTGCAACGAGTTCTTCGCACTCGGCCCAGCGACGTTCCCCACCAGATTCAGCGCACCCCCCAACGGCCCGCCTCCACCCGCAATTCTGCCGCCCGACTGCCCATGCCCATACGTCCCAGGCGGACGACCATACGGCACCGGGGGCGGTGGCGGCTGTTGCTGTCCATATCCTGACGACGCCTGCGGCGGGTGTGACAGAGGCGGGCCCGGCGGCCCCGCGTACGACTGGCCGCCATAGTTGCTATGATGCTGGTGCTGGTGCTGGGAATGGGAGGGCGGAGGCTCCGGCGGGCCCGGAGGGTACGAATCGCCTAGAATCGAGGAGCTGCCGTAATGCGCGTGCGGGGCTGTCAAACGCGCGCATTGCGCAGTCAGTATTCGAGAACATGCCGGCCTTTCGCGCACGAGAAGAGAGCCCAGCAGCGCGGCGCGGCTACACGTGCTGGACAACGAGTCAGACACGGTTCGGACTCAGAGAAAGCCCCTGGCCCAGATACGGACACGGGGCAATCGTGCAAGGTCGTGCAAGGGCACGTCTATTGCCACAGGGCACGAATGACGAGACGATGAGCTTCGCACACGCCCAGGCGTACGGATCCTTCGTCTTCCCGATAATCGCATATGTTATGGCCACGCTGCCGGCGAGACTCACGGGAGAAGAGACGCGGGAAGAAACATGATAGAAATCCGACTTACGTGGTGGATGATTCGGCGGAGGTCCTGCCGGCGGGGAATAGGGTGCTTCTCCTGGGAACGATGGTGCCTGCGAGACGGCGCTGTACGGAGATGAGGGATATGACGAGTGTGACGTCGGCCCTTCGTAATAATTGCCGCTTGGCGCAGGGGATACGTGGGCCTCGGGAAATGCGAATCCTCCGACCTGATCGCGGGGACTACCCGGTCCATGAGGTCGTGTGGGAGGAGGCGTTGGGCGAGTATGGTGAGAAACAGAAGGACGAGGCCTGACGTATGTAGAAGGTGCAGTCGAGGTGTGATGGGCACTCGAGGTGTACGAAGGTGAATAACCTGGTCCCTGAAAGGGCGGACTTTGTGAAGGAGACGAGTCTTGGAAGAACTGTCCGATCACTGGGATGGCTGCTGGACCCTGCGGGGAGTTCCATTCGGGAGGCGGCCAGGGAGCTTGTGACCACGGGCCAGGAGGACCACCAGAGGGAGGAGAAGGAGCAATAGGAGTAGGGAAAAGGTGGGGATTGAAGCTAGGCTCTGCTGGGGGACCTGCTGCAGTGTGCGAGTGCGAGGACGTATGGGAATGGTGAGAGTGATGAGAGTGCGCAGGAGAGACCGGCCGAGGTGATTGGTGAGGGGAGGGTGAGTGCGAGTGGGCACGAGGGAAGGAAGCGTACTGTACTTGTTCATGAGGCGAAGGCGGAATCGAGGAGGATATAGCCAGCCGGCTGAACTCGTCCGTCGGCACAAGATGTGGTGACGATTGCGGACTGGATGGATGGCTACTGGTCTGAGGATGGCGGGATGGCCGGGAAAGACTCTGCGGACGAGAGCCACTATTCACAGCAGGCGGTACAGGGCGGGTAGAGGCAGGAGCAGGCGGTGGTACCTGGCTCTGCACCGTCGGCCTACGCCCAAGAGGGACAGCCGGAGGGTCGTTGATGGGAGCGGACTGAGCTTGTGGCTCCTCCACTTCCAGGCTGTACGGCGGAGGCGGCGGTTCGTCGCTCACTTCCTTCGTCTGCACCTCCTTCTCCCAATCCTCCCAAGCTTGTCCCTTTTCTTCTTTGTTGTCCGATCCCGACCCAGAGCCGCTCGCCACCGCTTGAGCCGAGCTCGACTCTTCTTCGTAGCGCGGTCGGGAGGACCAGTAATCTTGCAATTCTTTCGAAGGGAACGTATCGAGGATCAAACGTTCGCCGCGAAGGCCTTCCGCAGCAAACCCGCATATGCGCATGTACCAATCCGGTGGCAAATCGAAGCCATCCTCGTCCAGGGCCATGAAGCGGTACTTGTCGTGGACAGGCACCTGTCTCTTGTGCGAGACGACCGGCATGAACGCGGTTCCCTCGTCGTACCTGAGTGCTACCCGTTAGAGTGCGTTGCACAATTGTGCAATGACCGTAACTCACTCGTCCCACATCGCGCCGTAGATAGTTCGGACGTTGTGGCGGCGGACATTGTATACTTGACGCCAGAGGTAGTGCCCGCCCTTGCGGGGCGCATCGTTCCACTTCCACTTGCCTTCGGAGAGGTTGTATCCCTACACACCACACATGAGTGAGCAACGCACGTCCTAGAAACATATCTCGCAGAAACGGAATATAGGACTTACTGAGCCGCCCGGGTGGACGACGGGGATATAGTCGATCCTCCTCATCGTCGTCCTGTTCGCCTCCCACCTATCGTTGTGCTCCTTGATGAACTCCACATCGCCCTTGATCTTCTCCTGCTCGAACCGATCCGCGCTCTCCTCGTCGTTGTACCGCCCGATCGTCCATGGCGAGATCGCGTCGAACTCCTCCATATACACCCGCACAAACTCCGGATTCGGGTCTGCGTCCGCGACAGACGTGCGCCAGTGCGCGGGCACGCCGGCCATAATGTACGCCCCGCCGGGCGTATTGTCACGGATGAAGCGCGTGACGGCGCGCACAGTCTCGGGGGAGTGGTGTGCGTCGGACATCCCAAAGCCCCACAGCGCGACGACAGGTCGCCCTTGCTCGCGGAGGTACGCGGGCGAGTCGAGCACGCCTTTGCGGCGGATTAGGTGCACCCAGTCTTGCTCGAGGACGCGTTGGATACGGTCGGGAGCTACTCCCGAGACGTCGTACCTAGTTTCGCATGAGCGACAATGAGATGGACATTCGAGGAAGCATGTAGGCTGCTGTCACTTGGAGAGGGATAGACATACATGATCGCGAATACCCGCCCCTCTTTCTCCGCCGCCTCCATGACTCTATCCCCAACCTCATCCCTCTGTCTCCTGATGCCCTCGTTCCCCTGCTCTACATCGCACTGGCCTAGGAACCTCTGCAGGAACGCCCCATCCACCCCATGCAGCGCCATCCAATTGAAGTGCCTCTGCACCGTCTTCGGGTGGCGCGAAGAGAAGAGGAACGCCTGCTCCCCGTTCGGATACCTCAGCCCCGGGGCAGGAAACAGCTCGGAGGGCGTGTACTCAGAGGTATCGGGCCAGAGATCGGTGTTGGGCCGCCCGCCGTCGGGGATGGGGTAGTCGAACCAGTGAAGCCAGCCGTGATGTCCAGGGCCGACCGGCTCGCCGTCTCCCGCGCAGGTGAACCAGCCCTGATAGCCGACGAGGAACTTGTCGTGGATGGTGGAAGGGTCGGCGCGCTTGAGGGTCCTGCCTTTGGTTAAGCTGGCCATGGAGTTGAAGCGAGATGGACGTGATGGGACGGACGAGAAGGGAAAAGAAGGATGGCGCAGCTCCTGAATATGGAGGAAACTCGGATTGATAACAGACGCCGCACGAGTCGCAGAGGCGGTGCCAAACTAATTGACAACGCTGGCAGATGGCTACAGGGATAGACAACGTCGAGCGTCGAGGTTGCGGATTGACGGACAGAAGCAGACTGTACGAGCCATGGCGCTTCGACTGGGAAGACCTACATACGTGTCCTCGCGAGTTCCAGTACCGCCTCGAGTCGCATTGTTGCCGGAGGCGCCGCAGATGGAGATGAACATGGCGATGCGCAGTGCACCCAGATGTGTTATTTCCGTGTCATGGCTGGCTCTGCTGCATTGCACTGGATCAAGCGTAGCAGCGCTGACGGTATGAGAGTGTGGTTCAAGAAAGAGACGCAGGCTACGGTGACTGGCAGTGGCAACGGGAACGTCCGCGTGCGAGCCGAACGGGCAGTCGCGTGTGCGTGACCTGCTGGACGCGTTGACGCGTATACACGCCCAAACAACGCCTCTCCTCCCCCGACCTCAACCACCCGCCTCGCGCCGTTCCACGCGCCATTCGCCCTCTCGCACACCCTTACGACGCGTCAATGAAGGTTAAGATCAAGAAATGGCATGCCATTGCGCAATGGCGCTGGGACACGGGCCACAACGACCCCGACGACGATGGCGAGGGAGACGTCTGCGGCATCTGTCGCGTACCGTTCGAGGGATGCTGTCCGACGTGCAAGATGCCCGGCGAGGACTGTCCGCTAAGTATGTGCTTTTCTCTTCTACCCACACACGTTGAACGCATAGCTGACCAAGCATCGCGGCCGTTCAGTATGGGGCGAATGCACACACGTCTTCCATATGCATTGCTTACTACAATGGATTGGCACCGCATCGTCCAAGCAGCAGTGTCCTATGGATCGAAGACCATGGGGTACGTCCCTTACCTTGCTTACTCTTGCAAATTTCAGCTGACAAGACTGGGCAGTAACGGCGGAGAGGAAGGTCGACGCGAACAATCCGCGGTAGCCCGAAGTTTTGACTATATTCGGACCCCACGCATGTTGTATCCATATTGGACTTGATTGGGATCGTGTACTATGTAGAGCCTCTAATCTTCCTCGCACGTCTCGTTGATGGAGACTTTGTATGTCTTCGTATTGACACGGTATGCATACACATCGCCCGTTCATTCACTGATCTCGGCTATAGATGGGTCTTCTACACTTTCAATCACTCTCGTAGGCTTCATCATGTTTTCTCGAATGAACCGACCGTCTTTAGAGTATACGTGAATCTGTTGGGCACAAAGAAGACGAAGATGGGACTTACTCGGCGCGTCATTCTCCCTTGACCTCCAGATCGCCTCCTCCATGTCTTTCGCCACTCCAGTCCTGACGTGCCGCGCAACCAACCTCTTTTCTGCTTTCTCCTCGTCAATCTCCACCCACCACCGCTCGTCCAGCAGCTCAGCCGCGGCTGACCAGGGCTCGATGTTGAGGAAGGTGTACAAGCCCTCTATGATCACGAGTCTATGGTGAGGGTATACGAATACGGAATTGAAGACGGGGTCTTTCTTGGCATGGTCGAATGAAGGTGCGTAAACCGTCTGTTCCCCGGCAGCAGCCTCCGGGTCGGGCGCAGACGCAGACGCATGGAGGGGTCGCCTGAGAGCGCGGACGAACGCGACGTACCCCTCCCCATCGAACGTCCAATGCGCGCCGCGTCGATCGTGCGCGAGCTGGGGATCAGGAAACGCGTCTAGTTGGGCGCGGGTCAGGTGCCAGCCGTCCAGCCCGACGCAGACGGCTACGGGCTCTGTCGGTGGGACACTTTGGACTGCTGCGGCGATCGCGCTCGCGGCGGATGCGTTCGGTGGGGGTGAAGGCAGCGTGTGGGCCGCTGCATTGACTCGGCAGGTGATGAGCTGTGCGAGCGTAGACTTGCCAGACGCGGGCACGCCGGCGATGCCAACGATGAGTCGGCCGTCTGGAGGCGTGCTTGATATGTGGTACTCCGTCATTGCGCCGCCTTACGATATACGTGCTACTTTACTCACTCTTTCAGACGGCTGAGTAGATACACGGATAACTCATTTGCGATGGGGTCCATGGTCGACGCGCGACAGTACGTTCAAGATGAGGATGGTTCGGGCCAGGATCGTTATCTGAGCCAGTCCATCGCGGGCACGTGCCCTGACGCGAGCAGAACGCGTCCCTGACGTCACCCTATACATAAGGCAGAGCGCGCCTCGTCCGCGACTCCGCGACTCGCGACGCAATCCACATCCTTGTCATGTCTACACTAGAGATCAAAGTGACTGCCCGCCTCTCCGTCGACATCAGCGACCAGCGACCTCCTATCATGCTCCAAAATTCTAATGCTAAAACCGGTCCTGTTCCAATTCCCCATGCACACAAGGTGCACCCCACCAACCCTGGGGGCGAGAACGCGACCCTCACCTTCATTGGTACCGCGACAACCCTAGTTGAATGGCGCGGCTTGCGTATCATGACCGATCCGAACTTCTTGCATGCTGGTGGTAAGCGATGCGCACCCTTCACCTTCGCCGAACGCTCATTGCCCGGACTACTCCAGATCACGTCCACCTGGGGCCCGGCGTGACTGCGAAGCGCCTCACCAACCCCTCCATGCCCATCAACCAGCTCCCGCCCATCCACCTCATCCTCCTCTCCCACTATCACGAGGACCACTTCGACAAGCTCGTCGAGGACAAGCTCCGCCGCGACCTCCCCATCATCTCCACCCCGCACGCCGCGCACCACCTGACAACCGCCCAGTACAAGGACGAACCATTTACGGCGGTCACCGCGCTCGACTTCTGGGAGGCCGCAGACGTCTCTGCTGGGGATGCGAAGCTCAGGGTGATCGGCATGCCGGGGAAGCACGTCCCCACCGGTCTTACCGAGACGGTCAACGAACTCGTCGGGGCCGTCCCGCCCATCAACGGCTGGATGCTCGAGCTGTACGGTGATAGCGGGAAGCCATACAGGATCTACATCAGCGGGGACACGCTTATGGTCGACGAGCTGAAGACGATCCCGGAGAAATTCCCTCATGTAGACCTAATGCTAGTACATTTAGGTAAGCGCGTGATTGTTAGCTGTCGGAACATGCCCTTCAATCCTGAGGGAATCCAAGGTGGCACGACCATCCCTGCTCCGAAAATTCCCCTCCTTATGGTGACAATGGACGCGGAACAAGGTATGCTGGTTGCTCACATATTACGCTCCGGTCCGCGGGTGCAACTCCTTAAATGCAGGCATTCAGCTCGTGCACCTCATCAACCCCGATGTCACCATTCCCATCCATTACGACGATTATGATGTCTTCAAGAGCCCGCTGACAGTGCGTTGCCCGTCTTATGCTGTTTCCACGGACGTTCATCGCATCGCTAGGATTTTCAAGAACTTGTTACGAAGGTTGGACTGGACCAGAGGGTGATATATCTTAACCGAGGGGACCAGTACTCGTTCAAAGTGTAGACTGTATGCTGCTTTCGGAGTCAAAGGTGCTCGTGGTAATCAGCGTACCCTCCGGGCAACGGGCGTATCCTCTTTAAAGCTCATATTATCCTATCAGGGACTAACGCATACTATGACATGTTTCTATCAATATGTGCAAAGGGACTGTTTGCAAGCTATCGCTCAACACTTCCATGTCTCGAGCCGGTCTAAGGTGAGGCAAGGGCAGCGCACTGACGTTTACGCGTTTGGCTAGTGTCAGCGCTACGGGAGCACTGAATCATGCGGAGAGGAGTCTCATCATCTCCCAATGTCCTTATGTCAGTCACATGTATGCATTTGGGTCGCTGACGAGGACGAGCGTTCCTTTCCCTCTCGTCAAGACGGAAGGTCCGCATCTCAGTATTAGCAATGTTCGTTGTTCGGCGTCATCGGAAACTGACGTCAGACAGATCCTTCATTCCAGCGGTGCATATCTGCTCCATACGTCTCGGTCAGCCCATCCATTGTACTCAGGACCCACGTCAGACTCGGCGCACGTGTCGACATCTGAAGCCTTCAATGCCTTCAAGGCAGCTCCTGACGGCGCATATGTCTGCTAGCGGCTTCGGTGCTCTTGACAGGTTGTCTTGGAACTCACTCATCAAGCGATACTCTAGGCTCTAGCGCGAAGTCTGACGCAGCTTCCCTATGTTTGCAGTGTAGCCTTCGTCCTACGAGCCGGCCTTCTCATTGGTTCAGGTGTCGTGGCCCTCGTCATTCTCCCTATCACCTGTCCGTGCATGTGCACAGTTCAACGCTGCGAGCGCGCTCTCAGCCTGCCTGACGTCTTAAGATCAATCCCGCTACCGAGTTTACCAGTCATTGCGAGCACTGTATGAGAAGCCTGCATGGGGAGACATCCCCTTGTTCGCTTCTCAATCTTTGTGCGCAATACACCTCGTTCAGTGTCAGGTATGTCGACAAAATGGTTCGATATCGGTCTCATGCCTTGCCGCCAGAATCCACGTATAAGAGAGCTGAAGATTCCCTCATCCTCTACCAACACAACGCAGCATCAAGATGCGATTCCTCACCGGCACCTTCACCACCCTTGCTCTCCTCGCCTCGGCGTTCTCGCCAGCCAACGCCGCTCCGTCTCAAGGGGCTCACGGTGTCACCGTTAGACCCGCGGACGGCGAGACAGTCGTGGCTGGCGCGCCCTTCCCATTCGAGTATGCTCCCGCAAACGCGTGCCACGACGGATACACCCCTATCGGCGTGTACATCGGTCGCGAGGCCCCTTCGTTCGAGAAGGATGTCCAGGACAACGGCCACCTCCGTCCGGGCAGCTTCATCTTCCAGTTTGGCGACTGGTTGATCCCTAACTTCGGTGAGTAGTACCTCCGTGAACCCTGGCCCCCCTCGTGCAGGCTAAACATCCATTTGCAGGACTCCCGCCGTCGCAGCCCCCCCCGCCCCCGCCGGCCATCTTCCTGCCCGAGTTCCCGAACGTGGCGAACAACACGAAGCTCTACCTTACCGTTGTTGAGACCTCCATCGACTGCCCGGTATGTATATGCGTACTACTACCGGGCTTCCTCAGTGCTGACTGACATGTCTTAGCCTGGACCGCCTGCTGTCTCGCCCAAGTACGGTTTGGAGACCACCAGCGTAGTGTACGTCACCTTGGTGTGATCTAGTGATCGGTCTGAGGCGTCGGTGTGAATGAGGCATAGGGCGGGGGCTGGCAACGCATGTGCACGTAATGCGGAATGAAGGCATCCGTCTTGACCAGAGTGTATTCTGCAGGCTGACAGCTTCATCTTGTAATGCGTGGGCCCGGATCGTAAGTCTCACAAGAATCTCGGTGGTCATATCGCCACACGGCGTCAAAAAAGGCAGTAACCTGAAAATTTGCGGGAAGATAGGGACGGTTCGGAATCAAAGCTCGTGATGAGGCTATCGAACAAATAAATCGAGCGTCCGTTGCTCTAGTAGCACTGATAAGTGGTACCGGATCCGTGGCAACAATACACGAACCTTCTCCTTATGGTCCCAGAGTCTTGCCTTACCAACCAACATCCGCTGTAATGTCTCGAGACGATCTACACCGTCTCAGTCCATGACATACTTACCAAATATGGATTGACACTTAACGGGCGCCAAAACTTCTGCAGATGGAGCACGCGACGCTTCTCACCACCTGCTTGTTGTTGCTCATTTCTAGCTGGATGTCTCTTAGGTCTTGAAAGACGAGCGTTATGGACGCGCCAGGACCGAACGCCCGCCTCTAGAAGCCACAGTGGTTTAGCTATCCTTTCTAAGCCACTGACCTCCTTGCAGGACATGGAGACACGCGGTAAGTGTACTTGACAGTACATCGTCTCAATGGCTGCCACTGAAACGGCCTCGACTCAATTGATTTTTTTCTATCCCTGGGGATTTGATAGAGTCGGAGCCGCGGAAGCTTACAAGCCTGGTCCATGTCAACGTTGACTCAGCGCCCTCGATCTCATCATCGACCCCTCCCGATACACTTTAGCCCTCGCAGGCGGAACCTGGGTTATCTGGAATGTAAGTGTCAGATGATGGATGCTTACCATTCATTCACGGAACATCGGTTGAACAGGAGACCGAAGGCCCCCAATTTGCCGAGTCTGCTACGCAAGCCCGCATACGTAAAGATATTGGTATCTCAATGCGGTGGGCATCTGAGAGTGTTTCGTCTTCACAGTATGAGAATCTTCCACACCGAATTCGCTTCCAGATGTAGCCCAGAGTATCACCGTCCTCGGCGGAACTGACAACATACATGTATGACGAGGAAGTCTCGTAACAGGCCCGGGCATCCGACTATAACCGTTAGATAGATGATGGTATGAAGGTCGAGAGCAATCTGCGACGGTCATGGTCACCGTCCGTGTCCTCAATATTACACTGTGTCAAGGGGCCACGCCACAACTCAGAGCGTATCTCCACTCAAAAATCAGGCGTCAACAACATTGAATAACGGGGGAAAGGTGAATACTCCCCCAGTCTACCTCAGTTACCCTAATCAGCCCATGTGCTGACCTATCGTATTCACGCAGTCGAGGTGTCATGCTTAGACACTGTGTTATGCGTTGGGGATCAATTCTTCAGCGACAATCTGTGCCTTGGATCCACTCGCCCAGCCGTCCAATCTCCCCTAATTCAAATGCATTGGTACCTGGTTCACCGGGAGCGCCAGGCGATGTTACGGCCATACGAGAACACACGCATGTTGCGAGAATATTCTCCTTCGATCTCCCACAGGGGTGAGCCTTTTTTCTAACGTCGTTTTGCCGCTGTACGCGTCATGCAGAATGTCTGCACCGTATGCAAAGTAGCCGCTCAATGGACGCTAGGTTAGGGCGCATAGCATGTCGACTATATAATGGGGGCTGGACATTGTCCGGTATCCATCGACGTCTCAGTATGCGATTCCTACCCTCTCCCACCGCTCTTGCCGTCTTCGCACTCTCAGTTGGAGCTACCGCAGCCTCTCTGAAGCCGCGCCAGATTGTAGACACCGCGCATGGCGTTACAGTGCAGCCTTCGGACGGCAGTGTCATTGTCCCAGGCACAGCCTTCCCTTTCGACTACGAAAACAGGAACTACTGCGAGTCGGGCTATAGTCCCATCTCCGTTTACATGAGCGCCACGGCACCGACCTCTGCCAATGTGACAAACGATGGAACTCTTGCGGATGGTAGCTTTGTGTTCCACTTCGGAGACTTCTTAATCGCCAATTTCGGTCAGTATTTGCTTCGACTCAAAGTGTTATGTGAATATATCTGTGCTGAAATCCTGATTCATAGGCCTTCCGCCAATGGAGACTCCTCCCCCGTCAACTTTGACCCCGCCTACACTTAGTGGCATTGTAGATGGCATGACGCTCTTCTTCTCAGTCGTTGAGACCTACAGAGACTGCCCGGTACGTTGAACGCTTTGGGTCGGCACGGACAAAAATCATTGACGAGAATGTCGCGTAGGGTAACATTCCTCTGGAATTTGGTCTTGAGACAACTACAGTCATCTACAATTAAATGTAGCCCAGGCAGTCTTATGTGCCCTTAGTTGATTGCAGTTTGCCTAATAGATTAAGCAATCCTTTGTACCAGCGCTAATACGATGTTGTTTAGCGAACTACATGAGATTGTACTATACATAATTACATTCGCGTAATCGGAGAAGAAAGGGGTTCATAGACGAGGGGAAGAAGATCTTAGGTTACTGATGAACTCAACGTCGTGCTCGTCCCGTTTCCATCACAATCGTCGAAAGACCTGTATTCTGACTATTGAACCGCAAATGTCAGGCCTGGGGTCCGACTGAGGGGCGACGTTCTGGCCAACGCCTGGTGATGGTCGGATCATGCCGGATATTGCAGGAAGCGACGCTAGGTTCGGCTAGAGTAGTTACCCGACACTCCGCTTCCAATCTCAGCTTTTCAGGTTCTTGTCGATGACTTGCCTCCTGTCCTTGAGGATTTCACTGTACCACTGTACGTTCTGAGCCACCCAAGCGTCCGAATCCCACGCTGAAGGCGAACAGGAAACAATCGTCTCTCTGGAAATGGCAATTTTGCATGTAGGCAAGTGATTTGGCGAACTGTTCTTCGAAAGTCTAGTAGGACCTAGATTTCGTTTGATGTTGACAACTTGTCTACAGCTTTAGCGAAGCTGGACCTTTCACTTTTGAAAGAGTCCAAAGACGACGCATTCGAGCATATTCACCGAATGATAGATGCCATCCCCATCCCGAAGTACGATGTCCGTGTCGGCTCTCCGTTGATCCCTCAGTCGACCAGAGGCTACGACATTAGTACGTAGCACGAACCCTTAAATGCCGACTTATTCGCACTTGCATTCTCACCTCTCTTGTCCACAAGTACTGTCAATGAAGTTCGAAACGCTACAAGACTTCAAGTAAGCTCTCATGTCATTCAAACCACAGCGGGGGCCGGCCCTGGGCATCCTCTCACAGTGGTTGTAGCTGATCTGACTCGCAGAGCATATCTCGCACATCCAAAGCACTTGGAGTATGTGACAATCATGGGGAGATATTGCCCCGCTGACGTCTTCACACAGGTTGCTCAAGGTCTATGGGCCGCCGTTGCTGCGAGGTGGGTGTTCAATCCTTCATATGGACCGTGTCCGCTAAAGATCGAGGCAGAGATGATCTCGTTCCAAGTGGATGGTACTGCGCCAAAGGCCAAGTTATGAACGTCTACTCGTTCGTTAGGCATCTGTATTGTTCCGTTTGCTGTCCACGGGGCATCTAGTACTACCACTAACCAAGTAGACATAAACAAACGCCAGGGGAAAACATTTCCACAGGTCGGCTGAGAGAACCATCCTGTTTATGCCGAAGGCGAGTCGCGCTTCCCCAGAACGTAAGCAATCGTCTGGTAAGCAGCCCAAGGCACGAATTCTGAACAACCCAGTTAGCAATAGCGTGCTAACTGCGTCCGAAGAGCACTCACGAGGAGTCTGATGTCCACTGTAGTAGAACTCGACGTCTTTCATGGGGCCAAGATATCAGCAAGAGGAAGGACAAGAACGGCGTGCTGACTCACATGTCAAGTTTCGCTCGGTGTGGTAGTTACCGTACACCCCCATGTTGTCGACAATGAACGACTCCGGCTCGATAGGCGTTTGGAAACCCTGCTTGCCATTCCACGTCATGTTCCTGCAGGAAGCCAGTCAGAAGGATTACCGCAGGCTGTATACCTAGCATGGACTGACTGGATTGCGATCCTTGCGCCTTCGGCAATGAGAATCATGTCCTAGGACGGTTTGGACAGATGAGCATACATTCCAAGGACGCAAACGAAGGTATGTATACTCACCGCTAGACCATGCACGATTGCAGCCCTTTCGCTCTTCTCAATAACATTGGGTAGGACATTGTTTGCCGCTGGTGGTACACTTGTATCCCCAAAGCCGACATAAACATTCTCCTCAGAACAGATCTCCCAATCAATGTGGGGGGCGTGGATGGCGTCTTGCACCTAAGACGGAGTCAGAGCAGCACTCAGCCAATGCGAACATAGCCATACATCAGTCCTGATGCATTGTCGAGATGGTGTCAGTCCGTATCCAAACTTTATGTAGCTTTGTAAGTACTTGCCTATTGAAGTATATGAACTTTTGGGTCGACTGAGGGAAGCCGAGAACACTCCCTGGGAGGAAATAGTCAAGCTAATATTCCACGATGTAATACGAGGATCTTACAGGGACTCGGGAATGTGTCCGTAACTCGATAGATGTCGAACACAGGGTTGATCCTGCGTAACGAGTTGAGCATTCGCAATGAATCACATTCTGGCAGACCACTCACTCTGTGACCAGTTCTTGTATCAGCCCGTTGATCTCACAGTCGTCACCGAAGTCTACGGTGCCGTCCGGATCAAGGAACGCTCCACGAGGCAGTGGCAAGAGCCCAGTGGGAGGGTACGTGACATGGTCGAGGTAGTCGGTGAAGCCACAAGCATCGGAAATGTTTTGAAGTTGTGCGCGGACGGTGGAATTGAAAGGGAACACGTTCTCGTTTGCCTGCACAAAAAGTCCGTGAGCAGTAAGTCCAATCGACGGCCGACCGAATTACCTGGACAAAGCGAAGAGCCGGTATCTCAGACTGAACAAGGAACCAACTGATGGTCGGGTCAGAAATCCAGATGCCCTTAAGGTGAAGGTGAGGGTTGGGGTGCTCGTAGAGGTAGTTTGCGATGTATGGAACGTCTGCACTCCCCCGTTCAAACCAGTTATCAGGATGATGCCAAATCAATACTCACAATATCCTGCATACTGGGAACGCACTGTCAGCATGCATGTGAACGGTACTGAAGACCATGGGGACTCACGCTCTCTCCGCTGACCCAGAAGTTGCTGCCCTTCAGTTCGGAAAAGACCTCCAAGAATTGTTCCATGAAACCTGCGACTTGGGCAGCGAGCTCATCATCATTGCTGATGTCGGGTACGCCTTGAGAAAACCCGGTCTTCGTAACAATGAGCTCAGTCACCGGGAGAGAGCAATTTAACCTACCCCGACGGGCTGCTCAACCCAAAGTACATTGCTCAAATTCGTCCAGCTCCAAGGATTCCTGCACGAACACACGTCACCATAGGGTTCTCAATTCACGAAGTCAGATACAACTTACGGCGTAGGTTCCGATTGGCCCCAAGACCAAGCTAGTCCTCGTGATCAGATGGATTCTAAACTGGTAGGTCTCAGCGCTTACATATAGGGCCGTTCTCCTGCAAGAAGCCCTCCAAGGAAGAGCATCCAGGACCACCTATAACGCTTGCCATCAAGAAGACATTATCAAGCGAATGGGACAATGAGACGCACCGTTAGTCCAGAACAATAAGTCGTTCACGTTCGAGGCATTGTTCGTCGGCCAGAACCTTCAGTACGCCGACTTCTGAGTGATCTACCAGTGCTTCTGGACGGAGAACACTCACCAGAAGAACAATTTCCGCGTCTCGTTGGCATGGCCGGAAATTGGCAACAAGCCTGACCAGGAGGGGCCAGCGTCAAAGTTCACTGGAAACCGGATCAATCGTGGAGCGAAGTAATATTTCCATATATACCTACCCTCGGGAATCTTGGTACCATCGACGTAGAACTCCTTCGCTTTTGGGTTTTTAAAAGTTATTAGAGCATCCCTTTTGGCGAGAGATTCAGCTTGGGTATGGGCTGGAGCCATGAGCGTCTGGAATCTCTCCATCTGCTTTCGCCGGAGGTCCATCGCTTGGCTCATACCCTTCAGTGCGCTTTTGGCGAAGACGCTCGTGCCAGCAGCACAGAAGAGCAGTATGCCGAGTAACAGGTGAAGGCGAGAGGACACCATGGTGGACAAAGCACAACGGCAAGCCGGGGTGCTACGGATTGCTTCAACAGACGACCCGCTTTATACGGTACAGCCCTTGCAGAGCGTTCCGACGTCGCTTATAGATAGATCTCGACGCGAAGAAGACCTTCGGCGATTGAAGTGTGTACTTGACACGCTCCATGGTTCGGGCAGCCGACCGCTGATATGGCGCTCGAGTACCGGGTGGAAGGCGGCGTTGTTACTTGCTTTGATAATGATGAATTGATGGAAATCTTGGCTTCGACAGAGCCCTATTCGCTGTTGTCGACCGGGTGCGAATCAATACCGCGCCGAATTGCGTAAAGCCTTGTCACATACGGGTCTGCTGGACACATCTCGTCCGAAAACTCAAGTCAGTATCATCGCTGGGAAGTACATAGCCCGAGATCGATATGCCATGGGCGGCCCCTGTTACTCACGCCGCAGCGAGCTAGACAGATTTGATGCATCCGGCGTGACCGGAGGAAGTACATGGATGTAAGATTGCTGCTCTATCACCTGAATTAGTAACGAGAGGGGTAAGCACTCACTGGACTTAGTATTTAAGTACATAGTACCATGTGAACGCTCATGTCCAGCAGAAGATGGAGAGCGCGGTGGCGAGGATTGGGTGTACACAGGTTTACACGCATCATCACGGCCTCTGTATCCTAATTCAGATCGGCACAGTACACAAGGAAGAATGCAGTGAATGTTGAGAATGATCTAGTGTTACAATTGTAGTACGGACAAACCGGGGGGACCAACGAGTGCGATGCGCAGATACGAAAGCGATGAAGCAAGCTCAAACACGATTTCTCTTGCGCTGTTGCCCTTGTGAGGAATCTGACACGGAAGGCCTACAGACCATCGGTCATCAGCCAAACCATAGGAAGCAGTTGCACGCACTTACTTGCGCCCCTTGCCTTTGCTGTCTGTAGGTTCGTCGACGTCCATACTGTCCTTGTCCTCCTCCGCCTCCTTCCGTTGCGCCTTCTCGCGTTCCCGTTGCTCCGCCTCCTCGCGTGCGCGTTGATTGGCGAGCTCCGCCCGACCAGCAGCCGTAAGACCCGTACGGCCGGTGTACACAGGCGGCTTGTTCGCATTTCGCTGCTCCTTCTGCTTGTCAACCACCTCTTTGAGCGTTGCTTGGTATTGCTTCTCGTATGCCTCCTTGTACTTCTTCGACGTTGCGGTGCGGTTGGATATCTCGGACAGCTTGTCATCGAGGGTAGCGAGGATAGCGGACGTTGTTGATGCCCTGGTGAGAGCTCAATCAGTCACTGGGCTCGAAGTAAAAGCCCGCAACCCACCAATTTTGCAATGAGACAAGCAACTGCTCTAACTTTCCCGGCTCCAAGTCTCGACCCATTGTGTACTCGATTTCAAATTGCTGCTCGCGCTGATCCAGCTTCCCTTTAACGATGTCGAGATAGATTGCGTCAATGATCAAATCCTCTAGGTCACGGATAGTAGGCATCTCGAGGTCGCGCAGTAGTTGGTCATAGGGAAGGATCTGATCAAATAAACGACGAACGATTGTGAAACGAGATTTTGGGAATAAATCGCATAGAACATACCCGACGGTCCTGTGCAAGTGAGACGAGCGTGAGTTGCTTGAGTTTTGTAATCTGCGCCTCGTTCAGAGGTGGAAGAGCATCCTTGTACTCTGAAAAAGGATGCATCGCTGGGTAAATAAAGGGTTATTTTGAACCAGATGATGTACTCAACGAAGGTAATCCGGGTATGTTTTGTAAGAGAAGAGCTGGAGTAACGAGTAGAAACGGTTGTGTTGCTCGTGACCCGACAACTACCACGCTCCACACGTGAACTTCTCCTGTCAGAGACGTCGAACTGTACATCACATACCTCCTGAATGTTGGGCTGCTCAAGTAGCTCAGCGAAGACGAACACACCAGGGGCAGTAGTGGCGTCCTGTATGAGCTTGGCTGCGGCGGCACCTTTTGCCCCTTTGGACATGAGCAGGAAGGGCTCCAGCTTGGCGATGTTTTGCGTTCCAACCTCCATTTCAAACAGCCAACAGTGGAAGACGAGGGATTGTGAAGGGTCTCGTTACAAGTAGGAGATGGATGCGGAGATCCTGGTACGGTTAAGCGCCGACGCGTACGCGCCACGCTCGCCGGCCACTGTTTGGCTTTATTAGGATCCAAGGCTCTTGCCAAGCACCGATAAACTCCTCCGAGAACTCCAGGTTCATTCCCTCATATTGATCGTGACTGTTCTTTGTGCGGTTCGCGTGGGAGGGCATACCAATGCTTGCTCATATTCGCGGCTCCATTCCGTCAGATGTAGAATGAATTAGGGTATCGGTCATTACGATAAATCCTCCAGTCCTGAGCGCGTACCCGTAATTCTAGGATGGGTAGCGAAAATAGTGTAAGTCTAGGGACGTCATGCATCATTAACTAAGAAATATGTCAGCAAAGCAGTCATCAAGTCTTCGCTCCAGTCTCCTTCTCCCCCACTTGATCTAATGGAAGGGGAGTTGCTGAGTTGGCGACGGCTTGACTCGAGGCTGCATGATTAGCTGGGACAAGCTCTTCAGGCAGCAAAACTAGAGAAGAACCGGAAGTCATTCAGAGTTCAAGCTCGCTCATGATAAGCATTTGCAAGTACTCACTCGCTCGGTCTATTGCGACAGGAAGACCGCGGTGTCTGCCGCGCACCATGATGATGATGACCACCAGTTTCGATAACGGCCCAAACGCGCCGCAGAACGAGAAATTCTCCGTCGGAATTCCTAACGTCAGGCCGATCCCGCCAAAAGCGGAGACCAGCTCGAATACTAATAGCGAAAGAAGAACCCATGGTGAGCGATGAAAAACGGAAGCATGGTTGAGATCTGTCAGAAACGCCCACCTATCCGGAAGACGTTAAACCACGGCGCGTTGACGTCGTCCATGATCTTTGTACGTTCGATAATACAGATAAGGAAGATGCCAGAAACAAGCCACCATATGTCGAAGGCCAATTGACGGCGTAGGTGCCATCCAAAATACTTGCCGATGCGTTCCCGGCGCGGTTGTTTCTCATCAAGATTTGGCTCTTCATCCTCATCGACTTCGGGAGGCTCAAAAACGCCGAGACTCTTCTCCTCATATCTGCATATGACATAGAGATGAGATGTGCATGTATGTGAGAAATCGCAAAATACCCACACATTGGTCGAACGGATACTAAGCGCAACCTGCATGGCCCATCAGCCAGGCTCTATCATCGTCTGGGATGAAGGACTCACGGGGTAGATAGCGATGTACATCATGATGACACATAGGAACCTACGACGACCATAAGTTAGTACACCCTCTAGAGATCAGTTAGGCAGACCTACTGGAATGATGGGGCAGTAGACGCAAGAGATACGATGGCGAAGCCGGACGCGCGGATAGCAAATGATTGAAAAAGGCCCGCCAGTGCACGGACACCCGCAGACAGGGAGGATGTCACATCCAAGCCGATGTTGAGGACAATGAACGCTGCCCATTCAATAGCACTACAAAGTGAAACAAGAATGTCGATACCCTTCGCTTGTGTAATGGTTGAACGACCTACGTGAGCAATATCAAGACAACGACGAGGAACCAGGTGACATGGGAGGGAAACAGGTACAGGAAGCATCTGTACAGCTTGAGGGATGTGCTCGAAACACCAACGGATGGGACACTTCAAGCTCACCTTCTAGGATGATCGAGCAGAAAATGAAGCACTTGATCATTGGTTCCTCCATCTTTGACAACCTTGGTGCATATCCAACTGCGAAGTGTATGAGGACAACATGACCCAGATTACGAGTCCTAGACACATACATGATCAACCGCAAGCTTCATGATGGCGTATGGGTCAAATGGTGAGATAGCGTCGAGCAGTATATTTGCTTACAAGATGGGCTGTAAAGATACCCGTCAGCCCAATACATAATGCTTCCATGAACTTGAACACTGACCAGTCCATGATTTCCCGCCAAGATAGCAAACATCATGCCAACTATACGAGCCTTAGTCGATCTCAAGCATAGTCGAGGAATGTAGCTCGCTCACAGATCATGAGGTACGCCTTCTGGAAGGGTACCATCCCCCTGGCGGCGAAGTTAGAATGGTCAGTGGGACGCAACGACGTCAGGACTCACGCATCAACCAAACTCATCCCTCCGCCAGTATACGAGCCAACAACCTGGCTAGAGCCTATATGAACAATTGCTTCGGCCTCGATCTACTTCGCAAATACTCACAAAATTGCGAACCTGTCTCTACGATTAATCTCACGTCCGAACATGGGTCAGCATTCTGACATACCATGACTTATTCACGAGGCGGAACTGGCTGTTGAATACGTTATCGTAGGCATGCGTCGTTGATAACCAGGGCGCGAACAAGGTAAACGAGACCAGTTGCGTGCCGATGAAATACTGCTGTCGAGTCAGACAGTCTGGATCTCAAAGGCACGTGAAGACCCACCGATATTACGATCCAGTTCAGCATGCGCAACGCGCGGTATCTGCAGGTCTGTCAGTAACCCAAAACCCCACGGCTCCACAGTAAAGGTACTCGCTCGATACCACCGAGCTCCTCCAGCTGCTCATCAGAGAGCTCATCGGTGTTGAACTCCGAGTTACGCCCGATGACCAGGTCACTGAGACCTTCGCTCAGCCATTTCAGCTTTCCCTTCCGAGCAGGCCGTGGCTCCACATGCACCAGCGTCGAAAGCTTGCGATAGAGAGTAGGGAAGTAACGTCTTGCTAGGCGTCTCCCCAGAATGAAGGGCCCGGGGAATCCACCAAGTCCCTGATCCTTCTCACGCTGACCGAGAACGAGCTGTCCGTTCGGCGCGTACTCCATCTTGGGCGGAACGATGATCGTACGCCGGCGCGGCACGGGAACGCCTGACGAATTCCGCACAGTCAGAATAACACCATGACACGAGGCGTTACCAACCAACCAGGTCTTCTCCTCATGTTCCCGCTCGGAACATCCTGCACACCGGCAGCAAAATGCATACGCTGTACTGGGGGCGAGATAGGTGATTGCAAGGGAATGGCCCCGGAGCGCGGGGACGATGTGAACGAGTGTACGTCCGCAACGATACCTCTCTCGTGCTCCTCAGTGCCTACATGCGTCATGAAGTCCTCCGAGGGCGACGCGCGAGCGGTCGACCTCGGGGAGTTGACCTCGATCCGTATCGAGTGTGAATCGTTCCACGCGCTCTCAAGTTGCGCTGCGTGCGCCTTCTCCATTTGATCGTCGCCTGCCCCGAGCGCTATGCCTAGCCCAAGCCCGGTGGCCCCGCCTGCAGCGAGCGCAGCGCCGATACCGTCCGAGGCTTGGATTCCGTGGCTGCCATAGGTTTCGTGCTTCTCCGTCCCGTCCTCTGGGTGCCGAGCAGGAGTGGATTTGCCTACACCGGAGACAATAACTCCTACGCGATCCCGGAAGGACTGGAATATGGTCTTCTTGCGGTGCGTTTCGATGATATGCGCCCGGAAGTAGCGCAAGCGCACCAGAACCATTACCCATGCGACTATGGTCTGTCGGGGACGGCGTACGAGTGATGGTTGAGTATTGGGACTAGTACGACTCGAAGCATGTACTCACTACATCGCCTCCGATCATCAAGACAAACAAGATGGCTTGTTGAAAGACGGTAAGGGTGCTTAGGTTGACGGTGGATAGCCCGGTCACGGTGAGTGCGGAATAGCACAAGAACAGAGCATCGATGAATGCTGCAGAATATCGTTAAGTTTGACATCATGCACCACAACTCACACAGCGAAACAGCTTGGGTATACGCTAGGACAGTGGTCAGGCTTACGGCCGCGGCCTGAATGCCGGAAGCGTTGACAGCCTTCGGAGACGCCTTGGACCACAGCTGTGCCGAGCCAACGAATGGGACAGCTCATTGGCATGCATGGGTAGCGTCTCGTCTGGGATGTCTGCTCCCGATCGCACGACCACATAGGGTCGCCTGTCCCTCCTTGAAACACCGTGTCCAACACAGACCACTTACGTATATGGAACTCTCCATTGGCACCATAGAATATCCCAGCAGCAATCAGAGGCACGAATGTGAAGTATACGAGGTGCAGACGGAAGAAGTTGACTTCATCTTCGATCCACTGTCGAACTTGTGCGTAGTGGTCCCTGAGCGAGTCGAGAATGGCCATACAACGACTGCTGTCAGAGGCGATCGCGCGAAAAGCAAGACCAGTTAAGAGATGACAAGTCGTGCAGAACAGTGGAGGTATATGGATGCAGCGGATAGAATGAGCGAATGTGTGTCTTGAGCCAGGGGGACAACGTGTCCGGGAGTGAGAGCGCAAGTTGCTGTGATCCACGCGGTGAGACGCACACGGCGTCTTTCGGCATATCCGCGAAGCCCGGAGAACCCAAGTACTTATAGCGGCATACAATGCAGCCCGCTGTGAACAAGTGGTCTGTAGTCCGAGACGGCGAGTAGAAGCGGAGAGTCACGACGTGCTGTATCGTCTGGCAGATTGCGAAGAAGACACCACTCGCGGGTTGGTGACCATGATCAAATCTTGAGCCATTGTGCTTGTAGGCTTGACTCATTCTCCCCGGGGTCGGCTAGTGGTACTTTGAGACCCCTAACTAAGGAGACGTTTGCCTTCCTCGCATACTCCTCTTGTAGCTGTAGGTCGCGTTGGTGATGTCAAGGAGCAATGTTCTGCAGCATGTACCCAGAGTTGAAGAGGGCGAGGTTAAGACCCAGCTGAGAGAGTAGACCGGGAGACGCCTCCCAGGCCACGTGACCGCATGAGACGGGCCGGAGGGGCGGTGGAGGTCCTGGAGGACGATCCTTGTCTGCATCCTCCCACCATAACACATAACATTTACTGAGACAATGACTGCACTGTTCGAATCTCTCACTCTCAAGCTTACGAACGTTTTAGAGCTGGCTACCCAGGATCAGGGTTCCTTGACACCGCAAGCACGGCAGGCTCTAGTTCGTTCTGTAAGGAGAATTCTCAATATGGTGCTGCAAGGTGCTCAGACGTGTGCGGATACGTAGACGAAGGAGTTCAAGGATGCGCTCAAGGAGGCTCATGACTACGCCACTACACTTCCTGGCGGAGACCATTCGGTGGAAGAGCAGGACGAAGTCATCGAGATGTTGGAGAAGCTCAAGGAGCGCAAGAGGTGTGTACCGTCTCTGTGGTCCGGATAGCTGATGATAATGTCGTGTCTCAGGCAGCAGCTGGCCGAGTTCGCGGACCGAGTCGGTCGCATCTCATCTTCTCACGTGAATGTGAACATGGAGGTCGATTCGACGGCTTCCACCCCCGCGTAGGGCGAGGCTCGTCAACAAGAACGCGGCAGGATGTATTGGAACAGTGGACACCTAGTCGGGATACGTTATGCGTCAACGCATGATCGAGCCTGCACACGCAAGGCCCACAAGAAGGCGCATCGTCAGCCACCATGGTGTATCCCCCTTCGCAGCACTACAACCACTTCTTCTTCTAGCGACACTGCCGTTCATACCGGGCTGGCCTCGATTTCCTGTCATTTCTCGTCGACCCTGTGGGTCTTTGCCCTATATGCTCCGCGACGCGTCTCTGGTGCTATTCCTGAGTGGACTCCTCCACTTTGCCTTGTTCGCGACGTCTGCGGTAGCCGCGAACGTCACCTGGATCAGCCCTTCGCGGGGCGATGCGTATGGATCTGGGAATACCATCGTCGGACAGTGGGATGCGGAGAAACCAGTCGTGTCTCCCTCGATCCGACTGTGCGTGCTCAATGGTGGTGGTACCAACAAGCGAGCAGCTGCTTCCGGCGGGTCCTGTGGAACGGCTGTCTGGCCTACCGTTCAGCAATCGCAGTCGGATGGCTCTTTTGTGATCCACATGTAAGTGCTTCGCTCATTCCGTCGCAGTGCAATTGTTGAGTACGTAATCCGCCATGGTGCGTAGGACCCTGCCCAATGTCACAACAGCCTCCCAGTGCTACTTGGAGATGAAGGATGATTTCGGCGAGACGTCTGCTTCGCCCGCCTTCTCATACCAGCGTGAGTTCTGCGTTTTACACCTCACTCCTACGTCTCACCCGGTGTCTGTCTTGCCAGCGTCTGTCGATGATGACACGGATCCATCAGATGTGCACGCTATGGAAGCCCAGCCATCCGCCGAGGACGCATCCACCCCGACTCCCGCCCCGTCAAGCCCTCCATCGTCCCCCAGCTCCGTTCCCCAACCTTCCACCTCATCGCAACAGGCGCCATCTCTCGAAGAGTCTCGCATGCCTACCCCAACCGCGGCATACGCAGTACCCCTCTCCTTCGTCGGCTCCGCCCTCCTCTGCGCAGGGGGCCTGGCCTACCAACAACGTCGCAGGCTGCGTGCCGAGCGCCGCAAAGAGCAGGACGCCCTCCAAGCACGCCAGACGCTCTCCCGCCAGCCCACGCTCGACCTCGTCGGCCTGGGCTTCACGAACCTGGGTCGCGGGCCCGCGCCCGGACGGTCCCCCGCCGCCTCCGCCTCCGCCTCCCTGCAACGACAGGACTCCGTCCGGTCGACGAGCGTGAGCCGCATGCGCGCCTGGAGACGCGGGGTGTCCCAGCACCACCTCCATCCGCACTCCCACTCCCACTCCCACTCCCACCACCACGCCGACGACGAGACGTACGTCGCGCGATCCGACGACGGGCGCAGCGTCGCGTCGGGCCGGAGCGGCCCCGCTGGCGCGTACCTGCACAGGCCTGCGCAGCCGCGCCGCCCGACGCGGGAGCCGTTCTATGCGAGCAGGAGCCAGGCGCGGCGCACGACCGTCCCCGCGGGCCTGTATCGCGAGTCGCCCATCGGGCTCCCCCAACCCCGCGACGGTGGTCGGGAGAGCAGGTACGCCACGTACGGGCGACGGCGGTACATCGCGGAGGAAGAGGAGGATTGGGGCCGGTTGAAACGGAGGGATGACCGAAGGCGTCCCGCCCATGCGTCGGAAGACGTGGATCGCATAAAGGTCGAGAGCTACCACAACGCCAACATCAACGATGATGTCTTTTCGCACTATCTCGACCTCTCGCCAATACCTCTCTCCCCCACCCGATCACCACCCAGGGACCCGTCTTCAGTATCGCGTCCGGAGAGACTGCACGTAAGAAGATATGCGCAAGACGCCACGCATGATTCGGCTCAACACAGAGTCGAGGAGCGGGACTTATACACCGTTGTAGCAAGAAAAATATCGAGAGACGACTTCGTATAGTCAACAAATCATACTTGTGTCAGGAACACCGTCAATGCAATCGTTTATTAGCCTACGATGATATATGCGGTACTATTACAGACCACCAAGAAACCAGCCCCCTACGATTCGCGGTCTGGTGAGCTATCGTACAGTATACTCACATTCTACGGATTTACTCTACGAAAATTACTGCACACGCGCAGGAGAGCCAACAACAACGACAACAACAAGCGGATGCCATAAGTTAATTGTGGTGGGTGAAGCTGATGGGTATCAAAAGCGGGAGGACCGAAGGACGGGTGAACGAAAGCGTGCGAGTAGTAACAGCAATATCGAAAACTAAAGAGCGAGTAAAAGCCCATGCCGTGCTTGAGACAACCAGGAGGACGACCAAAAACAATCAGTGAGAAACGACTGCATCACGAACGGCCTTCCGCACTCGCAGCCTTCTCAGCACGCCAGGTAGGTACGCGAGGAGCCGAGTGCATAGCCATAGACGTGTGAAAACGACTCCGTTCGCTCGCTTCGAGAGAAGAGGGTGCAGCGTAGAACACGGCCGACTGCGAAGAGCGCGGGCTCCAGAATTCTGCTTCATCTTCCAACACGGCGTTTGAGTGGTGCCTGGGGGACGCTTCGATGGAGTAGCTGCTGCCTTCAGTAAGGACGGACCCGTCTCTGCTAGCCGCGAACGTCCTGGAGTCGAAACCTGGAGTAGTGTCATGGAGCGCCGATGAGCAAGGAGATGCGGTAATTGTAGACGTTGAGTCAGTGGACCGACGTTTTGATATCCTTCGAGGACCTGGAATCGGAGTTGCGGGACGCCCCAATGTTTGCATGTTACCAATGGTACCCGACCATGGCTCCCCAAGGGACGGCGCCTCGACTACTTGACGTCGATCGGGAAAAGCCTTGACTGAACATTCCTGCAGAGCAAGGCTCAGAGGAATGATCGAGACATGGGCATCATCCGAGGTTCTGAGGTTGAGTGAGTGATCGCCGCTGGGTTCGGTTTGGGAAGGATGGGGGGACGGGGGTAGCGAACGATGACTCCGTGAGATGTATCCATGACGTTCCTTTGGTGGGAGGGAAGGGGCACGTGGAGACGATAAGGGGACGCTGGGAAGATCCCGGTTGGGGGGTGGCAGGGAAGGAGGCGAGAAGGGTGGCGGAAGGCCAACTGGCAGCGCCGAAAAGATGTCGTTCGTGGAAGAAAGAGGCTTAGAGTTTCGCTTGAATGCAGACTTGGGAGAGCAGGGACTCGTCGCAGGTCGGCCGGAAGACGAGGACGTGGACACCAGTGAAGGCCAAGCTGAGGGGGGACCATCCCGTTTCGGCGTTATGGCGGGCGACTTCCTGGCAGGGAAGGTATAAGACGCGTCCGAGCGGGGGGAACAGCTCGAATACACCGAGCAGGATGATGGGAAGGTTGGTGCTGTCGATACCGGACTCGCTGGGAGACTGTTCCGCACGCGCTTCACGGCGTGTGGTTTGCCTTGATCGTCCCAAGTGACCACTCTATTCAAGCTAGAGGGAGAGTCCTGCGAGGACGCTCGACGACTGAGGTGTATCGGTTGTCGAGGTGACCCATGCGTCGGCAACACGATATCTCCTTTGGCGAAAGGATCCGCCTCTGGAGTTAGAACGCGTCCGATCGCGAGCGCATCCTCCTCCGGCTTCGTGACAGGAATTGGAAGCGTATGGTCATCTGTGCTGGCCGAATAGACCTGTGCCTGCGCACGTGAGAAGGGTGAGATTGGGGAGCTCGGAGTCGACGGTAGGGAGCCCGACGAAAGAGTCGACGGTGACGAGTCGGCGGATGCCTCCTCCGACCCGGATGTGGTATTCAGGTTCAATTTGGAACGCCCGCGAATGCGCATTTTGCTCGGAAGCGCAAGCTCGACAAGACTGGAAAGTCGAAGAGACAAGCTTGAGCTCGATCGTGTACTTCCCTGTACCACGCTTCTCAGTACCCGACGTCCCAGCCTTCAGAACTTACGTACCGTCGAGTTACTTGTGGCGCTACCCCGTCGCTCGTACACGTACGCTGGAGGTAAATTTGCGTCAATATCACCCAAGTCTACTCATACAGAACTAGCTCTCCTACCAGGGACAGGAGGTGGATCCCTCGGGTGTGTCAAAGGCGATGGCATGTTCTCGCCCTTGCGATGGTTCCACAGCCCAAAATCCTGGAACCCCACTCTCATGGCAGGTCCGTCAATCTTTCGAGCGCTTGATTGATGATCTTCGCGACCTAAGAGTCCGCGACCGCTGCTTTTCGTCTTGCGCAGAGGCGGGAGACGAGAGTGGATGGCGGTGGATGGCGGGACGGGACGACAGTATGAAGGCGGTCTGGGATTCGCGACCCGATAGCCAGTGTCCTCGAAGAAAGAGGGTAAGGACTCGTGGGGAAGACCCTCTTGAACACTATTAGAGGTTGAAACACGATATAAAGGGTGCACGACGGACGCCGAGGTGGCGGGGCGACTATATGCGCGCTTGGACTGGACTGGGGTATCGTCGAAGAAGGAACGAAGGGCGGTGGTCGGCGAACGCGACACCGACGGACCATACGACTGTGCCTGCCGCGTAGGAAGAGGCGTCGGGCTGACGCTCCGGCGAATGGGGGTGAGCAGGGAGCGGGAAGGGCTGGGAGCTCGGGAGCTGGGACGACCTGCGGTAGAGTCAAGCATGCTCCACGGGGAGAGCGCGCGGACGAAGGATGAGGCGGAGAGAGTGGGGGACGGGCAGGGACGCGGAAGGGGCTCATAAGGAGCCGGGGAAGGGGGTCTGCTGGGAGAAGCAGGAGGCTCACGTGACCGCAGAACCAACGCTGAGGCTCGAGAGCGGACTTGTTGGAACATTCGGCGCGCGCTGATCGTTCCAGAACGGGATCTTGGCCTTGCTGGGGACGAAAGAGGCGAGCGGTCATCCAAACTGGAGGAGCGACTGCGGCGAGGGTCGCCAGCCCTGCGACCTCTGGAGAGGAAATTAGGTGGCTGTATGCGATCTGGAGGAGAAGGAGAATGAGGAGAAGGTGGAGTGAGAGAAAGGAGGGGCTGGTTGAGACGCGAGGTGAGGTCTGCATCACTGATGTTGAAGGCAGAGCAGACGAGCTCGCTGAACTCTTGTAAGGTGAAAGGAGAGGGACGGGAGCCTGAAGTGAGCGACATGGATGGAGACAAAGAAAGGAGTGAGGTGGATTATATACAGCTGTGAAGTAAGACCACGGCAGGGATGGTGGGGGTATGAGAGAAAGAGACGAGAGACAGCCCGGCCGTCGCTGGGAGGCCTGGCGAGGATGATGACGGCACGTCGCGCGGCGGGAGCGACAGAAACGAACGGGGTGACAAGACGAGAGGCAAGGCTGTCTCGCCCGACGTCTGCGCATGACATCTGTTGCCGTTTCCGGTCATATCGCCTCGGGCATGGCTTCGATCCAAGGCAAACACCTCACCGCATTCTGCCGCTGTTCCCGGACCAAGCAGTCGTCCTCCCGCGACCGGCTTCCGCGATCCAATCTGGGCTGCCACCCTTCACTTGCGCGATATGTCCGGGATCCAGCTTCGAACTTGATGTCGTACAACGTAGATCGACTCCGCTGTTCTCGACAGCGACGACTCCCGTCCTACAACCACCGGCAAGCCTTTGGCCACACTGCAATGTTCACGCGGCGTCGTCCTCTCTCACAAGCAGCGCCACCCTACCAGATAGTCTATTTCATTCTGACCTAGTTGGCGTTCGTCAGCATGCATGCGTGCCATCCACAACACAGAGCAAAATAACATAGAGCACCCACAGCTCCGCAGGCGTTCTTCCGAAGTCGCGACGCGAAGAGCATTCTTGGGAGCCCACCCCATTCTCCACAATGACACAGGTCAACCGAATGTCTTCTTCGCATTTTACGCATTCCCCAGTGAGGGCGTCCCGTAGCCACGTGTGGAGGTGAGCGACAACGTCGTGCCGCCATGTCACTATTAGACAGCTTTTCACTTTGCGTCACGGCCGGGCTTCGATACCGAACCGCAAGAGGTTTCGCGCGGAGTTCTGGCGTCGATGCGGCAATATCATCGCTACCGGGGCCTACGGATCCATTCGAATCAGCAAAGTGATTCCGAGAAACGAATCGAGATGCAACGCGAACATGATATCGGCTTCATCATAGCCTATGTTCGTAACAGAAGGGACCCGGTAGCATCGAACATCCTCGTACAGTAGTCATCTCGACAAGATGGAAGACATGGAGGTCGCGAAAGCGTCGGTCTCAACGCGTTGACGCATGTGAGCAGGTTCTTCGGCGTTTAATTTCCCGAAGAAGACAAGGCGTCTGCCTCTTGAGGCCCTCTTCCACTCCTGTTCTCCGAGCCATCTCAGCGAACTTACAGCATTGGACCGGCGCGCGTTTACTATGTGGCAGGTAGAATGCGACACGTGAATGATTTCGCCACCTGTCGCATCGTTGGCTACATACACAAGTTATGAGGTTGCGACTGCGGCGAAGAAAACTGTGATCAGGAAGGCGTCGTTTAAAGTCGGTGGGTACGGTCGCGGTCATATCGTGTCGTAAGAGCTCACGGTTCTTGGTAGCTCAGCGCGAAGCATGCAAGCCATAACAGGCTGACGAAGCTCCCTCTCAGGATGGGGGAAACAGACTGTCAGCAACGCAGCAGTGACTTGCCGTTCGAGCCCTCGAGTCAATCCGAGTCATCCGGGACCCGTTTCATCGCGCAAAGCTTTCTCCCGTCGGCGTCCAGCCAGCTGCTCTACGCGAAACGCGATAAAAGTACACAGTACTCGAGGTTAGAGAACGATCGACGGTCTTCCCACACCCTGTTCGCTCTACCGTTGAAGCTTCTTGGAGTGCCACTTGCCACTTAGCCATGGCGGGCCTTCGTTTCGTGCGCTTCGATGACCCGCACGCCTTCCTGGCGGAGTCGAAGGACTTCGACGACAGCTTCATGAACTTCGGCCTCGGGTCGCTGTACGACTTCTTGTCCGGGGCCTCGACCCAAGTCGTTTCTGACGCGCCCCTGCGCATGTTCGCAGTCTACCGAGGGAAGGATCTATTGTATGTGCAGTCCCCTCGTCTCGCTAGCTCAGCGCGATATCAGACGGCAGACATTAGATTGCTCACCCTGACCGGGCGACAGGATCACACTGCACACGAACAAAACGAGTCGTTTCTGGGTGCTGTCTACGCCGTGCCCCGCGCACGAGGCGCTCACGGGCGACCCCGAGCTCCTAGCCTCCGCAACTGCCCTCCTCGCCCACTCCGTCCTCGCAGAACCCGCAGACCCAGCCGCGCTCGACAAAGTCTGCGGCCCGCCAGAGGCCGTCAACGCCTTCCTCGCGACGTGGACCGCCCTCCTCCTCGCCCACCACAACCCCGTCAAGCTCCTCGACGGCAACTTCGACACCCACGTATCATACGCGACCAAGACGTCCCTCCCGCCCCTCCCCTCCCCGCCCTCTCCATACGTAGTCGAGCTCGCGACGCCCGCGGACCTCGAGCCCGCCGCGGCGCTCTACCAGGACTTCCAGGCGAACGCCCCGTGGAGGGCCGTCCTCACCAAAGAGCAGGCGATGGCCGCGCTCGCCGACCCGCTCGCCGCACGCCTCCTCTGGCTCTGCCGCCTGGAGCCCGACGGACCCCCGGCCGCCTACGTCGCCCTCGGGCGCGTCACCCCGCGCACGGTCGCCATCAGGAACGTGTACGTCGCCCCGGCGTACAGGCGGAGGGGCGTCGCGGAGGCGGCGGTGCGTGCGGTCACGCGGTATTACCTGGGCGCGCCGCCGTATGGCGTCCGCGGGGTGCCTGACGGCCCGCCGGCGTGCGGGGTCAAGGAGGAGGTGAACTTGAACGTCGGGGATGCGAGTGCGGAGGGAGTGTACAGGAGGAGCGGCTTTTTGTTCCCGAGTGGGTATGGGGAGGGTGCGCAGGGCGGCGTGGACCCTGTTACTGGTCGATGGGCTTGGCAACGGTCCATTTTGGTAGAGGTCAAAATCGACACTGAGTCGTGAAGCAAAGACATCGATTCGGGTACATGATGTAGCGAAGATATATGGACTTGGCTTGCACGTTGCATGTTAAGATGATCGATGCAGTTCTGGGAACCGAGAAGACTACCGCGCTCGGACAATTTGAGTAAATCCTAGAGCTTGTCCAGCGTGAACGTCAGTGTATAGCAGACTTGCGCATGGGGCGATCGCCGTGTGAGCTGAAGCCGGCGTACTTAGCCTGATGTTTCGGAACGCAGCATATATAAACGACTAGACTACAGTAGTGATACATTCATTTGTTAGACGACCAGCCGGGGGTATCCAACGCGGGCCCGACCAGGTCAGATTCTTTCACGTGGGGAGCACAGGGGTCCGTCTGAGCAACTAGACACAACCAGCAAACGAAAACAGACCGTGCTGTTGGTACAGGGCGACACATTAAGGACAGAGGGCGACGAAAGTGTGGGATACGATGTGCGACATCTGATGTGCAGGGCCATAACAGACAAAAATAGGAAGAGCCAGGCGTCCATAATGGATGGCATGAATAAAACGTTAGCTCCGGCGTCAGCGATAACGTACACGACGACTTGTGGGGAGAGATTATGAAGAAGGCGAAGGACCAGCTTGTGAGTGCTGCCGTAGATTGCTGCAGCAATAAGGTATACCAGTGAGTGAGGCCACATAGACGCACGGCGAGCAGTTGAAGAGGCAGGAGCCATTGGACTACTGCTCGTAGCCTCCCGCTCCTCCAAGCGACGCCATCCAAATCCGAGTTTTGTACAAGCTGCACGAAATGTCATAAGCACACGTCACCAAGCCCGAACGACTTTATGTATACACACCGGAACAGCTCACGCACGAGCTCTCGGAAGTCGATCCTCTTTTCGGCCACGAAATAGAAAGTTAATTTACGGCGATCCCTGCAACGCGCGGTCAGCATGGACGAACAGCTATCGTCACGATGGGAAGCATACCATTGATATTCAGCGTCCACTACCTCCATAGGCAGCTTGCGCTGTCGGACTTTGTTGCGACATAGCTCCAGCGCCTTCGCCTCATCTTGCGCTTTTGCCGCAAGACCCCTGTCCGAACGTCAACGAGCGAACAGCTCAAACAATGACTCGAACACCTACTGTGTATCCCGATGCTGAGCCTTGCCGTAGATCATTTTGGGGTTAATGTCCTTGACGCCTCCACCAGTCGCGGCGGTCGGGCTGGTCGGCACGCCGTGCACGTCGGCATGGCCCATGCTCATCAGCTTCTGCTGCTTCTGGAACGCCTCGACCTCGGCGAGCGTAATCGTGTCGTTGACGACCTTGCCCAGGTCCTTGCCGCGGTCCGCCTCGACGATAACAAGGTCACCTACGCGGATGTCTTGCGCAAGATCGGTGCAGTAGAACAAATCCGTCCGACCGGCCTTGAACTCGACGATGTACAGCGGCCACGACGTCGGCACTGCATGCAGCGGCACACCCTTGCCGAGCTCGTTGAGCGGCTTGGATGCGTCCGACGGGCGACGCTGCATCTGCTGCGGCGACGCGAAGTGACCTGCACTACGGAGGGCGGCGGGGGAAAGAGACGGCATCACCCCTCCTTCCGGGATCTGCTGAATACCATGGCCAGGGACGTAGCGAGCCATGAGCGCCTGCGTTGCAATCGGTCTTCCTTGCTCTCTTGCCTCCTGCACGAAGGTATCGATGTGACCTCGGGAGGGGCTACCCCCGGAAAGGCCGCTATCGCTGGGCGAACCGACGATCGACTGGCGGGAGTACGAGCCGCCCGCGCCACCAGGTATGTTGAGATGCAGTGCCTGGTAGGGGGAGACACGGTCTGAAGCCGGCGGGCTCCGCGACAAAGGCGCGTAGATCGGTAGCGAAGAGGGCTGCGATGCCGGCTGCACGGAAGTCATGGGTCGAGACTCGTTCATGCTCAGCATGCCGAGGTCGCTCGCGAGGTCATCGTCCGTGAGCAGGAGCCCGCCTCCACTTCCGCCGCCGAACGATGCGGAGTGCACGAAGGACCCCTGGTGAGCTGTATCCTCTTGCAGATCCGCAGCCGGAGCGTTGAAACCCACGATGGGCCGCCGTGGTTGCACGACGCTGACACTGTGACGTCGACTGGTCGTGCCGCTCCCACCTCCGCCATGCTCGTCGCGGGGAGGGTTCATTCCCGACCAGAGCTCGCGGAACGCGGAACCGTCGTCCAGAAGAATCTGGCCCACGTCCCGCACGAAGGGACTCATGTTCGAAGGGTCTGTGATTGAGCCCTGTGAGTATCCGTTCGAGGGCGAGCGACCAAGAGCGCCAAGTGAACCATAACGGCTTCCGCTCGTTGGCGTCTTGAAATCGTACCGGGTGGGGATGCTCTGCGGCGAGGACCCATCCCAGTGCCCGAAACCCTGTCCAGGGAAGCCACTGCCGATCGCGCCAGGCCGGGACGTGGCCAGAGACTGGGACCTGCTCCTGGTGAGGTCTGCAGTGTACGTGCGGCCCCTGAACGACATGCCGTTGCGCACGTAGCGCTCGTCGTACGGATCGTACGGGTCCAGGATGTCGCTGTGCGCCTCGGACTCGTCGTCCTCGAACGTGGACGCGAAGTGGGAGTCGCGCATGGCGGATGAGAAGGGGCTATGGGTACTTAATGGCGAGGAAGAGAAGGAAGCACTGCGCGTGGGAACCGACTGAGGCAGAGGATTGAGACTAGACGAGAAGCGGCCCCAGGCCCCAGAACCGCTGCCGCCTGAGTTGTTGCGGACCGGTTGCGGCGGGGGTGCGACGAAGCTTTGGGAGCGGGGAGGCTGGCTCGCAGCGCGCTCGCGGACGCTGAGCGAGTTGGGGGTTTCGGTCCCATGCGAGGAAAGGAAGCGGTTCTGGCGTTCGGCGTCGTCGGACGCGTGCTGGTGGTGGCTTGACTGCATCAGGCTCAGTGTTGGTTGACCGAGGTGACGGAGCTGCTCGTAGTTCTGGACGGTCGCCAGTTTGGATAGTCGTGTGAGGGGGTGTGCAAAAGCGAGGATGGGCGGATCGGGGATCGTACGGGGAAGCGGGATCTAGACGACTATAGCGTACACGCGCGTGATGCCTCTAGGGTCGTGAGTCTGGGGGAGCGCGATGAGCGAGGAGACAGCGATGGAGGTGTAGAATACGCACAGTGGTCGTGAGCTCTGTGTTGTACACGCGTCGACTCTACGATGTTCCGACAGCGGTCTAGGCGGGATCGTGCGGGGAGACCGGAGAAGAGACGAAAGCAAGTCTATGTTGTGGTCGCTGCAGACGGAGAGGAGGGGAGGCAGCGAGACTCGCAAGTCGTCTATGTCTGCTGTTGGGGGAGAGGAGAGAATGTCAGTCGGCGGTCAGGGCCATGGCCAGAGTCGCAGTGCAGACTGTGCTCGAGGCTCAGGTGACGGCGCGAGAGACGGTGGCTCGGTCACCCCTATCCCCGATTAGGCAGGGGCCGGTCACAAGGCCACACCCTGCCCCCTGCACCGTAATACAGCCGATCGTCCTCTCCCAGCCTATGCGCTCCCATTCACAAACGCTAAACTACGGTACACACGCCATCAGCCCACACGACTTCGCAGCACACCGTCCTTCCTCTTCGCAGCTTCTCTCCCTCCAGCTGACCGTCCCAGACCCTCCCCAAGTCCCGCACTTGACCCTTTCGGGCGCCCCAATGATCCGGCTAGGTACGACCACGTCCACGCTTCGTCCGGGATTAGCCTTGCCTCGACCTATAGGCTGCTACCCTATTCCCAAGCCTCTCACAGACTCGCATAGCGATCAAGGCGACGTCACTCCGTGCCTTGCGTCTTGTCTCTGCCGAGCGTTGACGGTGGACTGCGCGAGGGGTCCGCGTCCTACCGCGGGAGCGGGCGGGAACACCAATTCGGCACCGGCCGATCATTATGCATCGGGCATGCACAGCTCTAAGAGGACTAGCGGGTGGTTTCCCCATGCTTGTCTCCCCGCACCCCGCATTGCACTCCAACTTCAAGAATGCAGGATGGCCTGTCCGAGCCAGAGACCGGTTACCTAGATAGATGGCGTTCGAGCTTCTGCGTCTTCTGTTGTCCATTGCCCATCGGTACAAGACTCGCACCTTCTCAAGTCTTGATCAGGTGAGGGACACGGACAAACAACAGCGCAGCGACGTCAATATCTTGAACGAGCAAATGACGTGGAATGTGACATGCGGGCCTACCTCAACTCGCGCTTCTGGTGCATCTCCTCAAGCAGGTGCGTCAAACGTCGAATACAACCTCCGTCGCCTTGAACGCCGTGTTGCCGGGCCACACCCTCACAGGGACCTCGCACTCGACCATTTCCACCTTCACCTCCCGCCACGCCTCATCAGGTCCCATGTCGTCTCCGTCGTCGCCCTCCGTCTCATCCAGATCCTCGTCTCCGTCGTGATACCCGACATTCGACGGACCCAGCAGCGACGACGCGAAGTACGACACCCACGAAAGCGCAGTGTTCGCCGCAGGAGTGAAAGGTTGCCCATTGGCGTTGGGTGTCGTAGGGGAGGCAGCCGCGGGTGACACGGCCGCGGGACGCTCGAGGGGCGCGATGGTCTGCGCGGCCTTCCAGGACGAACCCCATTGTCCCCGCGGGCCGTCCTGCACGAGATGTCGCGTGCGTGCGCCGTCGGCGTCGGGGCCCTCGCGCGCACTCGGAGACGCGATCGCGACCAGCAGGCACAGCCTGACCTTCCACTCGAGCCCACCTGACTTTGGCTTGGGTTTTCTGGGGTTCATGAGGTCCGCGTCGAGACGCTCCTCCTCGTACGCAGCCTCGAACGCCGGGCTGGCGTCTGGGGGGATGTCCAGCGAGAAGGTCGTGCGAAGTGTGGCGGCCATGAAACACGAGTGGTGTTCCGCGTGAACACGTCGCATGTGCCGTGAGAGCGTGGGCGAAGCGATGCTGCTCGGAAGGGACTCGTGTGCCTCCAGCATTGCAGATAGCTAGCATATGACAGGGCATCGCGTGAGCAATCGAGGCGTTTGCAGTATTCGCTGAATGGATCACCTTGAGCACTCGCGCTCGCTGATATCTCTCATTCAACTCGACCACGCCGAGGATCGTCTCTCCGAGTCGGTATGCACTCTTGGGGAACGTAAGTACCGCCACCTTAACTCCATCCTTGGTGACATCGTACGAGGCTTCACAGAAGGGGTGAATGGAGGTCGATATGAAACCTGCGACAACACGCACCTTTCTTCGGGTTCCGAGTGAGCACCTCGACAGCTTGTCTGCATCCCGAAGGATTATTCACATCGCCCTCTATTTCACGCTCCGGATCGCGGTCACCATTCGGGATTGCTTCGAGCGGCAGCTTGATCCTGACCCCCTTTGCCTGCGGGTCAGGAAAAGACGCCAGGAGATTGCGCGCATAACCTTGCAAGTCCTCATACGTCCCAAGCTTGGCCGCAGAAGATGGTATTGCGCGCAGACCGGTGCGTCTCTGCTGCTCCGTGGAGCCTTCTATGACTTTGCCTGGAGGGATCGGTCCGCGCTGGGATACGACAGGCCACAGCAGATTGTATGGAGCGAGCGGTCTACCCACTACCGGTGCCGTGTGTCAACGGCTGACTCGAAAGCCATAGCGTGTGGTCTCACCTGCGACATTGTTGTACACGCGTATGGGAACCTTCATCACCCTACTGCTACTCGACGGACTGGCTCCGGGGACATTCCCGCCCGCCCGGCAGACGCCCAGAATGAACTGGTACGAGAACTTGAGTGCGCGTCCCCGGAACGTCGGAGGCAGGTTCTCCGGAAGAGTGAGCGAATACGTGTCTGACGCACAACAGAGCATCAGTCTCGCTGGAATGATGAACGGGAACCCGAAAGCGCGTACACGTCCGCGACTCGCCCGGCGCGAGACTCAGGTCCACGGCAAGCATGGAAGGCTGCACCTCCAGCGTCGGCAGAGGCTGGTCTGGGTCCATCTCCTCGTCTTCGGATGCTGATGTGCTCAAGCCCAGACCGAGCCCCGAGCGGCTCGGCGGTGGCAGGGCCTGTCCGGTTGAAAACAAGGAGAACACTGACGACGTCCGCGCGCGATGCCCGGGGACAAACGGCTGCGGGCTCGGTTGCGACGAGCTAGATGAGAGTATGGAGAGAAGACCGTTGGAGAGAGATGTCGACCGACCGTGCCTCCGAGAGGGGCTAACTGGCGAGCTAGGTTGTGCGCTCAAAGACGAGGAGATGTCCATGCTGCCTCCGCCAACCGCTTTGCGCTTCAGAAGACGTGCGCGGAGGCGGTTCAGGTTGCGTGCTTGGTCTGAGGACGAAGGGGCATCGGGTAGGGGGGTGATCGTCAGTGTACCGAGCAATTGCGCATAGGCGTATAGGATGAGCTCCGTGTTCGCAACGGGGAAGGTAGACGAGAACGCTGTCCGTGGCGGCTTCAGGTAGGCGGTGGAAGAAACTGCTGGAGGGGGACCATGGCCTAGACCAAGCTGAGATGGGCGGCGTGGAGGTCCGCGCGGCTCGTGGGGAGGGTACAGATGGCCAGTCGTCTTCGCTGGTGCTGGAGGACCAGAGGGGATCTGCGTGCGGACGTTTGGGAGGTCTGAACCTGGGACGGGAGAGGGGATGTAAGGCGTTGCAGGCTGGTTGGGCGATGTAGACCCTGCTTCGGCTATGGGATCGAGGGATAACGAGAACGTCGACATGGAGGCGTTGGGCGAAGGCGCAAAAGGTGACATTGAAGCGGGCGGTCGGAGGTCCTGCAGCTGAAGCTGACCATCTAGAACAGACTGCTTTCGTGCATGAGGATGGTTGGGCGGCAGCGCGGGTGTGCGGGCGAGGGGAGCGACGATACGGGGGGAGGATGATCCCGAGACTGGACCTGCATAGGGTGATGCATGAGCTTCAGGACTAATCGCATACGCGACGGCATAACCACTACTTTGTATGCCTCGGGGACGGGAAGATAAGACTTACTGCTGCCATGGCCGTTCAGGCTCTCCCGGTTCGCCGGAGAGGTCGGCTCCTTTGATTTATTCGACGTAGGGAGGTCATCTGGAGAAATTGTGAGGGAAAGAGATCTGGAAGCCAAGAGCCTCTTCCTGAGCACCTCGGAAGAGGGAGGCTCGTCTGAAGATTTGGTAGGTAGATTGTGGCCAATGAGACCCTTGCGTGACGAGGAGTTCGTTGCGTCACCATTGGGGCGGGGAGAAAGGAATACGGGGACAGCAGTGCGAGGAGTGCCAGGGGAAGTTGGTGGACGGGCAAGAGGAACAGAGCTGATGGAATGAGCCCCTCTGCGGTGGATATGAGAGGAAGAACGGGGAGCAGGTGCGGAAGCCTCGGGAGTGCGCGTGTTGGTGAACGTGATTGTAACGGAGAAGGGCTCGCCGGCAAAATAGGATGCTTGTGAGGGCGTGACGACGACGCGGATGGCCTCGTCAACTGTTGGAGATGCTGGACCGGCCATGACACCTATGGTGGATGGATTGAGGAAGAAGGGGCGGTTCGAAGGGCCAAGCTCGGGGTTGGGGAGTCAGGAACAGCTTCTGTGGGAAGATACCGGCAGTGGGAGTGGTATAGGCGGAGTATGCTCGCACGGAGAGACAGCCTGGGCAAGGGGCGGGAGAAACTAGGTCGACGGCACTCGGTGAGATGGCATCGTCGGTGAAGACGGTGAAGGCGAGCGCGCCAACGCCGCCAACAGCTTCCCCTGCCAGTGGCTCCGACTTCGGGGTCTAAGCGCCCATTGGCACAATCCCGGATGACCGGCCCGCAGTGCTATAGGCAAAGTAATCTCATAGCACTGCAAGTACTCCAAGCTTTACAAGTTAACAGCATTACCAGTTACCGGTTAGCACAGGTATACTTCGTACAGGCAAACTTCATGCCACTTGAGATCGCTCGCGTGTGCAGGCCGGGATTCCAGGCCGGGATTCAGAACGACTTCTGCTACGAGCCTCCGATAGATTCGGGCTTTTGACTCGCATTCAGGTCTGTCGGCGCGAAGCACTCGAGGGTCCTCAACGACAGAGAAGACAAAATCGGGGTGAGTAGTGCGAGAAACAGCGGGCAGAAAGAAGGGGGACAGGTTGTATGGTGTGAGAGTAACCCGTAATCAACGCAAACAGCGTACAACGGCGCGATCCCGGCAAGGTTCTTCACTCGCGACGGGCACGTTCAACGGTCCTCAGGTGGCAGAAACTTGTCCAACTTCTTACGCAACGGGTGATCCACCTTGATGCCCACCGTGCGCAGCGCGATGGCGAGGTCCGCCGCCAAACGTCGTCTCTCCTCTTCGTCACCACCTTTCGACTCTAACAGTGCCTTCACTGCTCGCGCCAGTCTCCCTCGCGGCATCAGCGGTTTGTCCCCATTCGTTGGAGGCTTCCTCTTCTTCCCCCCTTTCCCCTTGATCTTCGGTACAGCTAGCAGCGGGTCCATAACCTCCGTCCTGAATCTCCGATACGCAGTCGCAGCCAGCGGCACGACGCGATCTGGCGGGCTCGCCGCCTCCGCATACGACTCGATCTGCGCGAGGCGCGCCGGTGGATCGCCCTCGCGATATCCCCACTTCTTCAGCTCCTCTGTCCTACGCTCCCGAAGACGCCTCTGCACCTTCTCCCGCGTGTCGTCCTCGCGGATCGTCTTCGCGACCGCATCGAGCACGTCCGCGAGCCTGAGCCAGCCGCGGTCCTCGTCCACCGCGCGCTTGACGTAGTGTCGGTTCACGTAGTTGAGCAGACGGCTGACGGACTGCGCGCCCGCGGAGTAACGGTTGAAGCAGGGGACAAGGTAGTGTATGAGGGTAGAGTCGTCGGTGGGAGCGCCGAGGAAGATCTCGCGCGCGACCTCGGTGTAGTAGCGGTCGAGCTGGTCGTAGAGATCTGTACCACTCGCCTTCGCCTTCTCGCTCTGCGTGGACGATGTGAGGCGGGTGAAGCCAGCGAGTCCGTGGGCGGGGGACGCCTCGGAGTGCGTAGTGAAGTAATTGTAGACAGCAGTATGCACTCCCATGTGGTAGCCGACCTCGATTGCGGGGGCCTTGTTGAGATTGTTGGTGGGCGTGCGCATGATGTGGTCCAAGGCGGGCTCCAAGTATCCCCAGAGCGAGTGTAGGGATGCAGAAGGGTTCGCGCTGCCAGTCGAGGGGTTCGGGAGCGGAGGGGGGCCAAGGCATGTGCGCTGGGCCTTTGCGTGCCCGTTGGTGGGCGCGGCGGCCTTGTCTTCCGCGCTCTGCGCTGGCATGAGGGCGGGGCAGACGAGAGAGCTGTCGGGGCAGTGGGAGAGTGAGGAGGCGGACGGCGGGAGCGTCCGAGGTAAAAGTATGCGCGCGTCCATCAAACTTCCACACCCGCTCTGCCAGTCAGTCCCAGCGGCAATCCTATGTTCTCCTTGCTTTCTCCGCATCCACTACCACCGCCTCTTTCATCTCATGCCCACCGTGGACACCGACTCTGACAACGATCCCGATTACGTTCCGCCAGACGGCAATGGTAAGCATTACGCTTTCTCTCGCGCACCCGTGTCGCTCACGCCGCGTGCCTGCAGGCGACGAGCACGGTTCAGACGTAGACGCACCCGCGCCCAAACGCGCTCGAACCGATACCGCACCGGAGGCTACGTCCTCGGTCGACACAGTTAACGAGAAGTGCGTCCACCTTCCACGCTTCCCGCCCCCCCCTCCTGACTTGCCCAGATCAGAACTGGCGCTGAAGTCTATGCCGCGTTCAAAGCGTCCTTGAACGCCCCGAGCTCCCAGATAGCGCAGGCCTCCGCTTCGCGCGAGGTTGTCAAGATCGTCAAACGCTATAGGTTCGCAGGAGAAGAGACTACGTATGTGCTTCCATTCTCTGGTTGCCATCGTCTTAATTCCCGTTTCCCCGCCTTTATCGCGCTTTCTCATACGTCCATGCAGAGAGGTGGTCGAGGTGCCCGCGGATTCGGAAGAGGCAAGGAAATGGCCGCTCTGGATACCTTCGGATGACGCGCACGGCAGCAGTACCCCTGGCCCATCCAAGGACGACACGACCACAGAGTCCGCTGCCGCCATCGCCTCCAGCAGTCCCGCAGCATCCGCAAGCACCAGCGCGAAGACTCTGGGAAAGCGACCAGGTCCGCGGAAAGCTAAAGGCAAGCTCGCTGACGTTCCCGCGAAGAAGGAGCCTGTCAAGAAGCTCACCACGCTCGATAAATCCGCCATGGACTGGCGTGCGCATGTCCAAGGCGGAGCGTCGGCGGAGATGAAAGACGAGCTGGAGGCTAACAGACGCGGTGGCGGCTTTCTCGAGAAGGTGGAGTTCCTGCAGCGCGTCGAAGCACGTAAAGAGGAAGTGCTCGACGCGAACAAGGGGAAGCGCAGGAGATGATCACCTCGCGAAGTCAGCCTGTATCGTTTCTTCCCTATCCGACTTGTACACTATCATGTATGATCATGCGGGTTATCCATAGGTTGTACGTACCATCGAGATACTTCAAAACAGCATGTATATACAAGACTCCCGAACAAAGTGAGATCACAGATACATGGGCGTCGCTAGAGTACGGGAGCCAGCGCCACGCATCGACAACTGCAGATAGATAGTATGCAACTATGTATCCCTTTACACGACTCCCAAAACAACCGTTGCCCTCAGGCTGACCTCCCTTCCCGCAGGTATGATCACAGGGGCAGGCTGACCGTTTGCATCAACCTCCAGGTACTCCTCTGTCCTCAGCGAGCTCGACTTCCAGCCCCAGCTTTGACTGACCGAGAACACATCAGGTGCGCTCGTGAATCGCGTCAAACTCGCCCCCGTCGCGCTTGCACATGCGATGGTGAAGTAAGCGCTGACCGCAGGACGAGGATCGCGGTACGGTTGCGGTGGGGTCACCGGGGGGGCCGTGGCTGGTAGAGAGACGGGCGACGCGACCGTGATCGACCCCACACTAGTCGAAGAAGTGTGGAGGGTTGTGGATGAGCGAGAGAAGGCGGGGGCTGCGGGAAGAGCAGCCGCTATGGGCGACCCTGGAGCGACTGGGGTAGCCGGGGTAGGGGGCCCGCTCGGCCTAAGTGGTGAACGCGGGATAGACAGCCCGCTCATTGCAGAGGGAGGACGCGGGCTCGAGACGGATGATGACGGGCCTCGACCCCGGACGCTCCTGTCCCGTGGGGGCGGAGACAGCATGCCGGCAGTAGGGGCAGAAGACGGGGGTATCGGGTCCACCGTGGACTGCCGGTGGAGGTATATGCCGAGCTGAACACCCTTCTTGCGTACGACCTGGACGTAGACGTTGTACAAGCTGCCGGCGTACCAGACAGTGTGAGAATGCAGACGGCTCTTCTCTTTCAGTGCGTCAACGTCCCAGAACTCCACCGCGAATCGGAAGGGCGGGTGGGCCGTCCACCTGGCCTCGGGATCCACCGGTGCAGACAGGGGTGAGCTGGATGAGGCAAACGCAGTGGCAGGCCGACGGGCCTGTTCGAGTCCAAAGAAGTTGGCCTCGGTGGCCAAGGGTGTGCTCCTCTTTCCACTCCCATATTGAGGATCAAACAGCTGATCCATCGAGGCGCCTTCAAGACCGGTGCTATCACCCAAACGGAGGGAAGAGTCGCCGGGAACAGGGTAGAATGCCTTCAAGGACTCGTCTGGATGTGATGCCAGCTGCTCGATGTTAGCAGTCGCTGTACCAAGGCCTAACTCCTTCGTAGCGTTTGTTGGTGAGAGCGAAGGCGATGCGGAACCTGCAGGTCTATGAGTTATCTTGTGATATAACGTCGACTGATTCCATAGAGCGGCCTGTAGGGTTGCAAGTGGCACGAACGGCTTGCCAGTCGAGCGTGAAACATCCTTCGAGATGCTCATCAGGTCGTCCAAATGCTGGAATCCAACGATCGTAAGCAAATCCCTTACCAAGATGGTGGTGAAAGCGTACGTACCATATTGGCGTAGTAGATGCCCTCAGTGAAAAGCCGTCCAAACTCGAGTTCCTCGAGTTCTTCCGATTCTCCTGAGCCGTCCATAGCGCTAGCCGCCCTCCTCATCTCGACCACATTTTTTGCCATCTCATACCGCTCCTTTTCGCCCCTTACGAATAGCGCATCGGAGGAGATGATGCCCCGTATCCAACGAGCGCTGAGCCCGCCCCTCCGCCATACCACCGGTGCGACTGGCTGTGGGTTAGAGCCCCCTACCCTGCCACCAGACCTAGAATTAGCCGTCTCCGGAGGCGCAGAAGCTGGCCTGTCGCCCGCCCACTGAACGTGATGCGGAGAAGGGGACCAAGGGACCTTCTGGTCCGTTCCTCCTCTCTCGGCCGTATCTGACACGATGGCCTGCTCCTCGTATCGCAGTATGTCGACGCCCCAGCGAGTCAGCCAACACGCCGCGGCTTCTCCAACCTTGTCCGATACTGCGCCGTAATAATAGCACGGCTCTGTAGGCTGAGCATGGAGCATGTCTTGGGACTTTGCCTTCTGGAAGGTGCTATTCCCCTCGCTCTCGCTGTCAGATTCGGCGTCCGAGTCTGGCGTGCCGTGGTTGTGAGTGTGTTTGGCGGTTTCTCTCTTGGCGCTACTCGAGGAAGTTGTTGCGGCATCCTTGCCCACCTCACGTTTGTGCTGAGATTCTGTAGAGCGGTCGATAGACTCGTAAGAGATGTCGTCTTCTTTGATGAGCTCCGCGACATCTTCTAAGCCTGCTGCGGCTCCGATCTCCTGGTCCATGCCAATGCTAGCGATCTCGGGAGTACCAGGCGGCCCGATCCCGTGACCAATAGCAAAGTTGAGGTAGCGGACGGCAGTGTGAGGTCCGATGGTACGAACGATGGCAGACAACGCTTGGGATGCGACGGAGGGTATAGAGAGATACACAGCAGTAGCGAGCAGCGAAAGCAAGAATCGAGGAGTGGCAGGATGGTGGCCAGCAGGTAAAGTCAGTGATGAAGATATGTCGAGGGCAGGAGGGAGCGGGCTAGCATTTGAACAGTCGGATCCAGTTGAGGCGAACGCAGGGGTGAGAGGGTGAGAAGCGGTGGGTATCATAGAAGAGGGTATCCAAAGCGGCGGACCGCCGCCGTATAGTCGAGCAATGCATACTCTGTTCTCAGAAGTCAGTCGCCAGAATATCTACAGAATGGGTTGTGCCGCGGAATACGCACTCGAAAGCTGCAAGTAGAGCAACAAGTCAGTTGAGTCCGATTGACTGCGCAGCAGAAGACCGAGGTAAAGCGCTCAAGCAGATTGGCGAAGCCTTACGCTGATGTCATTTTTCATTCTGACAACACTGTGCATCCGGCACGAGCACTAGACGACAGTACTGTGTGCGTGGACAGACCTGGCCGAACTGTGGACAATTGCGAGATATCCATTACTCACCTGCTCGTGTGATATTGGGATCGTCAAACACTATGTCAATGTAATCTGGTCTCATCCGGTAGCTAGACGACTTCGACTCGCTGAAGCCTGAAGTGAATAGCGATTGGAAGAAGCCCTATTGGTAATGAGACCATCATCAGACAAATGCCGTGAAGTATGAGGCATACCGCTTGAATGAGAATCACTCTGTGCAGCCTGTAGATGGCATGCCAAGACCCAGATATTCGGAGCGCAACATCAGCTGTCTTGCGTTGCAGGAAAGATGCATAGAGATGCGATTGCAGGTCATTTGGGGACGGACGAGTAGGACTGTTCGGAGCAGAAGTCATTACATGTGGGTAGAGAGGCAACGTTGAGCGTTCGAGAATTATTGAGTCGGGGTGATGGGAAGAACGGAGATGGGAGTATGGCCGAGATTCCAGGGAGAAAGTTGTCAAATCCGACATGTGTCCTGGTATCAGTTAAGCAAGCTCGGCAAGACTAGATGGACGAGGATTCGTAGATCTCATAAGACACAAGCAGCGCGTTTCTTATAGTAGTAGATGCCAATGCGAGACAGTCGTCCTCGACGGATGCGACGAACTTGAACACGACCGCCTCGTGTGCCGCCTCGACGCTCGGCTCGCCCACCTCCCAAACTCAGTAGCAATCGGCGTCCGGCCCGAACAGCGTCTCCGCCGCGTATCGCGACTCGGACGCCTCCCGCAGTGCTGACCTTGACTGCTTTGACATTTACTGCATCGGCGACGACAACCCTCAGGCTACTCCAGCCAACTCGATACAGACCTTCGTAATGGCCTACGCACAACCTCATCCCCGGCTCTCTGTGCTTTCCAACTCCTCGCTCTCGTCCGCCGAGCATCTTTCACCAGCATCATCTTCCCGCTTCTCCTTGCCCTCTGCGCCTTCAATCAACACCACGAGTGGCCCGAAGTCAGGAGCACGCCCCAACATCTACGATAGGCCTCTGAACAAGACGCGCACCGCAGAGGTTTCCTCTGCTGCCTTTGCGTTCCTATTCTCGGAAATCGTGCAGTATACGCAGAAGCGGGTCAGTGGTATCAATGATCTCGAACGCAGGTCCGTTTGCTTGATGGTATGGCATTCGTTCCTAACGTCTGGCTGACAATAATATGCAACCGGTAGACTGAACACTCTTGGATATCGGATTGGCACCCGTGTCCTCGAACTCATGGCCTGGAGGAACGAGTCCGCGTCCAAGGCCCCAAAACGCGAGACTCGTTTCCTCCCCGCGCTCATGTCAATCCATACGCATGTATGGAGAGCAGTGTTTGGAAAGCCCGCTGATGCCATTGAGAAGAGCGTCGAAAACGCGGATGAGTGTACATCCTGCTTTCCTTGTTGATGGGAAACCGCTGCTCATATATTGCGTTGCCTCAGACATGATCATCGACAACGACCCGCCGATCACACGCAACATATCTGTCCCACGAGACATGAGCTCGCTCAGCTGCTCCTCATTCACTGCCGGCATCGTGGAGGCTGTCCTAGACGGTCTGGGCTTCGTACGTCATTCGCTCTCTACCATCCAGCATCGCCTAGACTCATCTGACTTGCAGTCAGCGCGCGTCACGGCGCACAACACCCCCACAGAGCAATATCCAAACCGAACTACCATCCTGATAAAGCTCGAGAAGTCGGTCCTCGAGCGAGAGGAGGCCTTGAAAACCTAGTCCCGCCTCGGGCGGGCTCGCTTGTGCTAGTAGTATTCATCCTCAAGCATCCATCCCCGTCAACCTGCGGAGTGCCTTTGCTGGTTTCTCGAAAGGTGTGGTTTTGACTGCGCCACCCCTAGTGGCGGGATCCTAGAGGAATGGTATCGCACGCGGATACATTGGGGGCTTTTCACTCGCTCTTACCACCACGGCTGGAAGGGATCTCATCGTCTAGACCCTAGATTCCGCACCATTTGATGTACCTATGTATTTGCGCCACAACGAAAAGGGGTGCGGGGGTTCTCGCGTGCAATGTCCAAAGCTCGATGCGTTCCTGTTGCCATTGTGGAGGCCTAGACCTTGTCCGCCCTTAATTAGATTCTTCCACAATCCGTCTGTCCTCGTCATGAAACTTTTTCCCTTCTTGTCCGACTACATTCTCAACCGCACATTCAGCTTATCCCTTAGCCCCAGTGGCCTGTGCAGAAGTGCCGGCGTATCCTGCGCAACAGTTTGCCAACCATCCACGATCGATGCAGTCTCCTTCTCCTTGCCTTTGGCAAAAGCGGGAACGGCCTCGTCATGAGGGTAGGAGGCTCGTGGACTGTCGTCATGGCTTACTAGAGTCTAGAGACGTAGCGAACCCGGAGCGAGACAAAACGCGGAGTCGGCCCCAGGCTGGCGGTGGTTGACAGAACGTAGAGAATGTGATGGACAGCAGGCCGATCATACTGCGTGGCAGAGAAGGGAACTGCAAGATGAAACAAAATCTGCGGGCAGCACCGATATATAAGGCACCGACAACAAAGTTAGCTAACTTGGAGATACTGGTGAATCATAGTTCACGTTCAGCGCTCAGCGCGCAACTAGCTCTAAAGCTTCGCTGTAACAGCGCGCTGCCAGAAATGGCGGTCACGTGCTGCCAAAACGCCTCGCAGTTGCAGACTCACGGGCTCTTTACTATCCCTCCACTATGTACCTTGCACTTGTCCCTGTATCGAGTCTCGGTTCAGGAAAATATCTTGGCTTCATCGCCGCCCACGGTCTATACGCCTTTTACAGCCCAGATCATACAAGGATCCAGACGCCATCGAAGCACCCTGGGCTCATATTGACCCTCTCGAGGGTTGATATTGTTTCACAATGCTACGTCGCATAGAAAGGTGCCAAAATCTTTGTCATGTTCACATACGGAGGTGGGTGCGCCGAGCTCTAAGGTCACGGAGGGAACGAAAAGAAGGGGCGCTCCGTTTCTTCCTGATCCGTTTGGGCGTCCAATTTACCTTATCATGCTGTGCCTCTGATAGCCACAATCGAACGGTGTACAAGTGCATCCTCTTGTGCGCAGTACCATACCGGAACTTCACAGGTTTCCTCATTAAGTCGCGCGTGTCCTAGTAGGTGAGTTCAGTTGGCTTATTTGGATGTGCTATATAAACATGCCACCTTGAAGATTCCGCAATCGATCAGTGAACCTTGAACTCAAAAGTTGCTCACGAACAGCGACTTGTGGTCTGTCTCAAGCTTCGCGGTCGTTCCAGGTGAGCTTCAGACTTCTGTACAGGCATTGCGGCAGTTCCGAAGCGTATGCCCGAATACTGCCTTTGGACATCGCACACTTTACAGGGCCATCGGCTCGTCTAGACTTTGTCCTTATGTGTCCGATCCCCTGACGCCCGAATGTGGCTTGAGCTCCAGACCCATCGCCCGATGTGGCCGCTCTTCGTGACAGCGCCTGCCCGACGCAAAGCGTGGGGTACCAGTGTCTCGAGCCGGTGTTCTCGCGCTTCGTAACAACAACAACAGCCGGGTGGAGTATACTGCGGCACGTCTGTCATCCACGCATGGCAATTCGGCGATGTCCCTTCTGCGCCCAGTGCCTCACGCCACGTTCGGGGACTTTGGGTGTGGTCTGGACCCGATAATAAAGACTTGTGCACGAAGAGCTAGCCCCTCCGGGCAGACTTTGCATTTTCCGGTCACGCTGATGCGAGCGATGATTGAGCGCCGACATGCTCGTTCCAGGCCGTGCCCCAGCACATATATCCATCTAATATCTCTGCGTAGGAGCGCCATATCTCAGTATCCCCCGTTCCCAATCCACCAACACCATTGCTCCTGTTCCCGACCGTGATCAGCCTTACCACTATCCCAAGAGCAAAGAAATTTCTCCGCTATGGTCCGGATACACACATTGAATATCGAGCCCGCTGTCGTCAACTCCTCGTGTGCGTGGGCATCTGACTATGAAGAGCTACGAGACCTCTATGATTCCCCCTACACTGGCGCGGTGATTACTCGTACCGCGACGTTCAACGGATTTAGCGAAGACGCATCTAATACGGTGCGTGGACGTGATTATCCGGCATCGTCTTACTCCAATGCTGATATGGTACTACAGGTGGCCCTTGCCAAGTCAACAGTGTCATCCATCAACTCTTACGGTTACTCTCCCCATCCACTCTCGAAATATCTCGAATGGATCTACACCATCCTCACTACGCCTATGCTCGACGGGAGCCCGCCTACGAAACCGGTCATCATCAGCATTACTGCATCCACGCCAACCGTCCTGACAGAGATGGTCGAGAACATCCAGACCCTCCGCAAGAAGCTCCGAGCTTCGTACTCCGCCTCTGTCTTCGGCGATTTCGCCCCTTCTAGTCCTGGTCAGGCGAGGCGCAGCTCAGCGGGAGCGTCTTCTAGTAATCAAACGCCGACTGCCTTCGTGCCGGATCCTGCCACGCTCGTGGGTATCGAACTGAACACGTCATGTCCCAACATCAAGGACGCGCCTCCCCCATCCTACAACTTCCAGTTCCTCCTTCCCCACCTGGATGTTCTGTCGTCAGCATTCTATGCGGATTCTACATTGACGATCGGCCTGAAGCTTCCGCCGTACCTGTACCAAACACGCTTTGTTGAGGTCGTCCGCTTCTTGCACACATACACGCGCGAAGTCCGAACCGCAACGTTCTTCAGGGGCTCCGGCAATAATCACGCACAACCCAACCAGCACGTGTCGCGCTTTCTGAACCCGTTCGCCTACCTGGCATGCACGAACACCCTCGGCAACTGTTTGCTCTTTGCAGAAGACCCGCTGACAAACCCCTCCGGGACCTCCGCAGACCCCGAGAGGCCCTCCGCTGACAGCATGGAAACCGACGAGTCCACCTCGCCAGCTCGCTTCTCCTCGCCCTCTAGCCCCCCATCTCCCTCGTCGACTGGCAGCACGCCCCCGCCGCACCCACCTTCGCCCTCGACAACGCCCTCGCTCTTCGCGCTCCCCACGCCCCTAGGCGGACTAGGGGGCGACGCCCTCCACCCAATCGCGCTTGGGAACGTCTATTCCTTCGCGCGACTGCTCGCGGCCCATCCAGACCCAGCGATGCGGCGCATCCGCATCATTGGCATCGGCGGTGTCACGTCGGCCGCTGCGGCCGCGCGCATGCGCCAGGCCGGAGCCTCGGTCGTCGGGTGCGCAACGCTGCTGGGGCGAGAAGGTGTCCGGGCGTTCGAGATCCTGGCCGGGCACGCCGAGTCGTAACGCCTAATTCTCATCGGCCGACAGTGCCGTACTCATCACCTTACTCCAGATCCCGTGTGCTGCCTGAGTGGATGATTCGTGCCGGTCGCCCGTTGTGTGCGTATGTGGATGTATGCTGCAGCAGGATCCTCTCGCGTGTCTCTGAATCGCCGATCGTTTGTGGAGCTGTGGTTCATGATTGTGGTATGGATCTCGCTCAAACGTTGGGAACTCGCATGAGATTGTATAACCAAGGTAGTCGTATGTACGCGGTATATGGAACAAAGATGCTGGAACCGAGACACACCTAGTAATAAATACGTATACAGTAAGGGAAACGATCGGTCTACACCGATCCGAGACAGAGTCTGCTATAGCTACATCAAGAGTAAGACACGAGAGGAGAGGGGATGGTCCTAGGCAAGAATGTACTTGGAAGCTCGAACCATTAGTCCCGAGCAAGCTTTGCCATCAACGCAGAGACGAGAGGCTTGGAGAGGGAAGCATAGAGAGATAGTCAATGTAGAGGAGGAAGACGAGGGATGACTCAGACTGGATGGGGAAGGGGAGGGGAGAGCAAGGGGCACGAGGGAAGGGGAAGAGGAGACGAGGGATGATAGTGAAGCTGAGACTCGGAGATGTGAAGGGGGACGAGAGAAGAGGGGACGAGATGAATTGCAACGACTCGGAGAAATCGAACGAGTCCGTGATATCACCTGACCCAGTCCAGCGACTAGATCCGCCTACTGCATCCAGTCCTGCGCACCCAAGTCGTTGTTCTGCGCGAACTCAGGCCAGACGTCAATACCCTCGGAGCCAGCGATGTAACCCGCAGGAGCGTGCGTGAGGTCTACCTGCTCGTAGCCTTGGATGCGGTTCGGATAGAACGACCATGAGTTGACATCGGCAGACATGTGGAGCGTAGGTCCATCGACGGAATAACTGTGGTCGTAAGGGATGTCCTGCGGGAACGCAGGGGTCTCGATGATGACGGGGCCATCGAAGCCGAAGCCGGATTGAACCGACATGTTCACGATCGCGGAGTAGTCCGCGTGGTCGTGGACGAAGGCCCCATCATGGTAGCCCTCTGGGACGCCTGCGGGCGTCAGATACGGGAGACCACCAGGCGTGTACAGATCGGACAGGGCAAGACTGCCCTGTGGGTACGACGGAAAGGTGGCGCAAGCTGGAATCTGGAGCTGGGACGAGTAGGTGGGGTAGCTCGCGTCCTCTGAGACGTCGGGAAGGGGTACGATGTTGAGGACCGGAGCCTGTGCGTAGACGTTACACGATGCAAGAGGACGATCGGAGAAGATGGAGCGTACCTGAACAGTGTCGGTGATGAGGTCCAAGGGACTAAGGGGATTAGCCTGGTCCGTGATGGAGAGGTTAGCCAAGTCGGGGAGGTCCGAAGGCGAGGCGGGGGGGAGGAGAGGGCTACGGAAGGGCGTCTCGCCAGACGAAGAGGAGCCGGCAGCAGACGGAGGGGTCGGGGGAACCCAGGTCTTGACGTCGAAGACCCCGGTGGTGTACCGGTCTGAAGGATCCTGGGCCAGGCCAACGATGGGCTCCTGCCTGACCTTCGCGTCGAAATTCTTAGCGGCCTCCTTGATGTCCCCCCCGTTGTAGGCGGTGTTGGCAATGACGGCGACGCGCTGCGCGGTGACGACGTCCTGACGCTTCACATTGCGCTTCTGCCTCGGCGCATCACGAGCTTTGGGCGAGAAGCGATAGTTTGGATGCTTCATCTTGTGCTCGCGCGCACGCCGCTTCGCCTCCTCCACGTAGGGTGCCCGCTCCTCGGGACCCATCTTCTTCCAGAGCTCGCCGAAGATCTTGGAGATGATGCGGTGGTCACTCTCGACGCCAGCGTCCGTGAAATCGGCACACTTCGACATGCGGAAGATAATGAAGGCATTGGGAGGTCGAGGGATGTACTCAGGGTCCTTGTGGCGACGCGACGTCGAAGAACGCGTCTTATGAGGCTTCGGGGAGGGGGAGCGCGTAGAAGCGGGCGAAGTGGCGCGAGAAGGTACTGAGGTATCCGAGGAGAAGATGGAGTCATTAGGAGACGGAGGGGGCGGGGAGTGGGAGGGAGACGGAGAGGGGGACGTAGATGAAGTACTGTGCCACTCGGGTGGCACAGCCGAGGGCGCCGGGAGACTGTCGCCGGAGACATTGCCTGAGCTGGCCTGAGCCCCAGGCACGCTTGAGGGGACGAGGGTGGGTCCTGCAGCGTAAGCAAGTAACTGTCAGTATGAAAAAGCCTAAAGTGAATGAGCAGCGTACCCATGTGAGATTGGGTGCGAGTGGAAGCGATGTGCGCGTTGGAGCGAACCATTGTTGCGATGAGGAGAATGAGGGCTATGAGGAGGATGCGTGGAAGAGGAGGTGCGTTGTGGCAATGGGTTTGGTGGAAAGAAAGGACGTCCATAGCCCGTTGTTTTATAGTCTGGAGGACCGTACACTCAAAAGACCGATGTGATAGCGTGAAAGGATTTTCGGCGCCTGCAGCGAGATCTGTCGTAGACGTACCCCACGCTAAGATCACGTCGTGGCAGCCTCGATGCGGCATCTGCCCAGTGACGTGCGTCCTATCGCGGACTAGTCTCCCCAGGCCGGAAACGCGTCCCTGGGGCTCTCGTTCCCGTTTAGGCGATCAATAGCACCATGGCACCATTGTCCCGCGCAGAGGCTCGTCGCAAACAGTGCTCAGAGTATGGCATTCCGAATCGCGCTGTAGTACACAGCGACTAGATGTACTTCACGCAAGCGGTCTTATGCGCCTAAGAAATCATTCGATCTGTGTAGAGGGATGGTCAGTCCTAACGACATAGCCAGACAAGCCGTGAACGTCACACTCGCCCGTCATCGTTCAGTCCTGCGTTGATCCGGGCCGCACCTCGGACACAGGTGTTACGCGCGACGAGACAGCTTATACGCTTCGCCATTGCAAACATGAACCAACCGTGTATCAGAATGATTGTGCGTTCGCTGCCCGACATCTTCGTCACAAGTCCGTGCCCAGTCGGAATTCCGGAGCGACCCAACTCGATGGTTGTCTGGAAATGCTCCAGGGTCGTAGTACACGTTGCAGAGCGTAGATCATGATAGAGGGGAAGCTGGGATTGCCGGGTGGCACACTAGGAGCGGCAGCGCGGTCGTGGGCAGGAACAGAAAAGCGCGGCCACCGTCACTGCGACTCCGTGCCCGAATCCGGCAAGTGACGCGTCCGCTCTTCATCTTGGACACCGGACTTGATCTTAGCGTGGGGTGTTACTTTCAGTGACCCCAACCAAAAGGGTGACATCACGCCCGTGGAAAACCCTTCGCTAAGATCACCTACAGGCAGTGGGCTGGACTTCTCGGGCGCTTCTGGCGGAAGCTAAGGTCACTGCAACCTACAGTTGCATTGCACGCGATCCTTGCTCGTAACTTGCCAAAAGCGCACCCGCTCATCGGCCCACAATTTACGCGACAGCGAAAACGGTGACGGAGTCGTCGGAGACGTGGAGATGGTGCATATGCAGGTACTTTATCGGCGAGTTGACCACCAGAATCCTTAGTGTCTTGAGGAACATCATCAAAGTTGGACCGTTCCTTCTGGGTACAGAGATTGCGGTGAGGCTCATAATTCTCATTCACATATGCGCTTTTGTGCAACAGTTACTGCAAGCTGTAGTGAAGAACTTGTTCCGTGCAAGGACAATTTGTCGGTCGGGTTCCCATCCGTGTTCAGACCATTTATGTTCAGCACAAAATACGTGCTTCTCTTGGGACGCCGCAGAACAAATACGGCGTCGCCATCAGAACTTCAAGCAAGCCAAAAGGCACCTCCCGAGATGCTCGGATACAGTCTCCGCCGCCGCCTGCAGGCCGTCTAACACCCGCACAGCATGCACCGGGCGGGCCCGCGACGGGATCCACGCGGACGGGCTGCCACGACGTGATATTATCTAGGGGTGATCTGAGTACAATGTGATCTTACGGAGGGGTGCCTTCTTAATGAAGGGCGCCCGGCGCGGCGCAATCGGATCGGTGACGTGCACGTGACTATAAAGGCAAAGTCAAGCATACACAAGAAGGCCGCAGCTCGACACGATAGGTCTCGATAGCGAACAGGGGTTCCGCACTGACCGTTCAGGAATTTGTAAACGGGCCCTGAGGCTAGTCGTGTGATGCCGACCTCGGACGCTCCGAAACTGCACCAGGTCGGAGGCTCATGCACTAATGCCCCTGGAAGCGGGGCTGCGCGCCAGTGACGGAGGCCATCAGGTTTTTTTGGCGACAAGTGTCAAGAGTGCTGCGGTAGCGTTCTGGGCATGAGCGATCTATCGGCGGCGGCGAGCCTGGCATGCGTTCGTTCGTTGACGCAGCGGTCAAGAATGTCTTCTATTCGCCTTTGTTACAACTAGCGCTCATCTCTTTGTTTGTCTTCTCGGGATCGACGTGCAAAGTCGCGATGTGGGCATTCGCAGGAACCGCAACGAGGATCGGCAGGCATATCTGTCGATGGATGTCATGAACTTGAATTATGAGAATGATGAGTGCGAGCATTCAAGAAGAATCTCTCCATCGTGTTCAACGCTACTCCAAGTCAGGGCGCTCACGTCGACCTCCAGACCCAATCAATACGTGTGTTCATATGTCCGAGTCCTTGATGTATCACCGTCAATTTTATGCACGGAACAGTGCGCACATTGGCCACCCCAAAAGACGTCTGTCAATGGATACGCATGCCGCTACTAAGACGGTTGAACAAGCTGTCCGGGTGACTAGCGAATCCCTAAAACGAGCCGTCCGTTGAATGCTCACTACCCATCACACATTCAAACGCTCTGCTTACATGGAATCACTCCCCAGTACCCATGAGGCCACACTTTTGGTCTTCAATGATGCTCTCACCTCCTCCTCTCTGACTCCTTGTACGTTTTACCACGATCTAGCTTTCGTCGAATGATAACTCACTAGAAGACGTGACCCTCCAGAAGACATGTTCCTTTCGGGTATATGTGCAGGTCTTCAGGAAGCATTCGTCCGTGCAGGTGACACTCTTGCCGTTGCTCAGTGGGATGACGACGCGGAGCGGGCGCCCTCCTGGCTGCCGGCGTTCCGACTTCCACTTTTGTGCAGGTTTGCACGTGAGGAGTACCAGAAGTCCGTGATGTGCCTGGGGAGGAGCGGGAAGGACCCGGAGGACCGGGGAGATGCTCCAAAGGCATACATCATGTTGTTGCAGACTCCGGAATGCGTTCTCCTTCTCTCCGTCGTCGTCTTACTCGACAACGTCCCCCCTTCCTCCCTCTGCGCGAAATTCTGCGGAGACCCTCTATACCGGCGACAATCAACGCCGGACACTTGCCGTCGCCTCGCACGATATAACGACCGGACGGCGCTAGGCCGCTAGTGCGTTGCCCATCGCAGAGACAGTACAGCCCTGGTCTCTTAACAGCACCACGACGCTCTCCACGCCAGAACCCTTCCCCACCTGTCGTTCTTATCTTCGTCAAGTCCGCGGGATAACCCTCACAAACTACCATGACGCTCTCGGAGACGTTACTCCCTCAACCGCCTTCTTTCCAGAAGAAGAAGGCCTATGAGATTCACAAGGTGCTCGGCGTCGGCACTTTCGGCAAGGTCATGGTACGTCGCTGTCCAGTCCGCTGAGCGTTCTACCAGAGCACTGATTGCCGTCCTGCGTATATTCGTCTGCCTGTCGCCCGACGCCGTCAAAATCGCTGTCTGCCATGTCGCATGATCGCATCTGCTGCGTCTTGGACGCTCGTGCGCCGCCGCATAGCGCGCGACTTGGCACGTCCCTCCTGGCCAAGTGCACGTCGCGCTTCGGGGAGCAGCAGCCGCAGATGACGCGGACGTACCCCCAGGCAGTAAACCCTCCGCTTCTCGCACCAGCTCTAGTCACAACCTCAGCCCTTCATCCTACCTCTCCAACTTCAACAAATCCTCGAAGAGCAGCACCCACTCAAGCGAGGGGAGCCTCACCGTCGAGGTCGCGCTCAAGGTCATTCCCAAGAAGAAAGTCAAGGGCAATGAGAGCAGCGTCTGGAGCGAGATGGAGGTCCTGCGCGGGCTTGAGCATCCCAACATTGTGAGCAACACTTTCGGTCGACGCCTACAATTACGTCATTTCTGGCGATTGTGCTGACATCCTTGTTGTCTAGGTCAAGTTCTACGAATGGTTCGAGTCGCGTTCAAAGTACTACCTCACGTTCGAGCTTGCCCAGGGCGGAGAGCTGTTCGAACGGATAACGAAGAGGGGGAAGTTCACAGAATCAGATGCAGTACAGGTCGTTCAGTTAGTATCCCCCTTCCAGGGATCTGTGCCTTTGAAAAGACTCTCCCTCGGGTACGCTGACCGCACATCTTGTTGCGCAGGTCAATATTGTCGGGCGTGAAGTATCTCCATGATCATGATATCGTTCACCGTGACCTCAAGTGAGTACCTGGCTTGCGCGCTAGGAAGGTCGCGTAATAACAGTTTCTCTGCCACAGACCGGAAAACATTCTGTACCGGACACCTGACGAACACTCTGACATCGTGATAGCAGATTTCGGCATGTGAGTATCGTAGTCCTGCACCGTCTTGGCTTGGTGTGTTGACTTACATGGTATCCAGCGCGAAACACCTGCACTCGCCAGAGGAGCAGTTGCACTCCCTTGCCGGCAGTTTCGGTTACGTCGCTCCAGAGGTACTCAACAAGACAGGTCACGGCAAGGCTGTCGATATCTGGTCAACAGGGTGAGTGTCTGGGTCGTAGATCTTCGCCATTGAGAACGCTCATATCTAATGGTTCGACTACGCAGGATTATCACATACGTCATGCTGTGCGGTTACTCGCCCTTCCGATCTGACGATGTGAAGGAGCTCATCCGTGAGACGACGGAAGCGAAGATCGAGTTCCATGAGCGGTACTGGAGTAACGTGTCCGACGAAGCCAAGGACTTCGTCAAGACGCTGCTCAACCCCGATCCAGCCAAACGCCCCACAGCGGCAGAGGCACTCCAGCACAAGGTTGGCTATTCATCTATCTCTCTCAGTATTTGCGCCGCTAACCTTGCCTCTCAGTGGCTAACCTCGCACCAACCCTCGGACGAACACGACATCGGCACCGGTCTCCGCGAGCACTTCGACCCTCGCGCGCGCTGGCGCGCCGCCATCGCCGGCGCACGTGCTCTCCACCGTTTCAATTCCTCCTCCTCCCGCACCAGTGGCACCAGCGGGAGCAGCGGCGGCTGGCGTACCGGATCCATCGCCGTTGACAGCGACAGCGACGACGACAACGGTCACGGGCACCCGCACCTGGCAGGTGCTTCGTCGGGCTCGCGCGAGGAGAACCACTCCGAGAGCGAGTACGTCAAGGTCACCGCCCCAGAGGACTCCGAGTCTGAGCACTCTTCGGTCTCGCCGCTCAGACGCGGCACGGTCGATGCCCCGCATGCGGCGCACGAGCTCAGGCACGAACAGCAGGCCGATGCGCACGAACCCCTGCACGAGCGGGTGCCGACCCCGCTGCACGCCCAAGCCCCCGCTGCGCATGCGCAGGAAGGTGAGGGGTCGTTGCCGCAAGCTGCAGAACCTCAGCACGAGGAGGAACCCGAGGGAGGGCGGGAGACTCCCGAGCTGCGGATGCCTGGGTCGTTTGACGTGCATGTGGACCACCACCACCATCTCCACCAGTGGGAGGGCGGACTCCTGGGATTGCTCAAGAAGATACACATCAGGCAATGATGCATACGCCGCTGCATCTTCTCGCGCCTTTTGTGGGCGGATGAGCGACGTTTCTGCACGGACTGCACTTACTGATGTCGGACCCTTCGATTATTCGTTTATCCTAAAGACACATGTTGTGTGTTGTAGATTGTGGGAGAGGGCACGGCTTCGGGCCGTAGTGTGTAGTGTGCGTGCAGTCCGTGGATGGCTGGATAGATGTCCGATTCGCTTGGTTTGCCTCATGTCGCGCACACTCGGTGCAGCCTGGACCTCTGTATACACACCATCCTAGTATAACCATGAGAGTTGTATCATATGGATATACCCTTGGTAATACCGTGCCCGATGTCGAGTTGCCAGAAATTCTGAGAGCGTCAGTCGTAGCGCACTCATTGGTCTGAACAATCCAAGAGCGACATACGAGGAGTCTCATACTCGGATCCATCCGCGACAGCTCTCCGTATTGCACATACACTCTCTTGCCCCTTCCGGTCTTGTCCGAGGCCGCTTGCTGTGGTTTTTCTGGGCCTCTAGAGCAGCATTCGGATCATAATCGATCGTCAGTTCGGTGCGAGGTGGGATATCTTCTGTGGCGACAAATGCCAAGAAAGGTTGTTTGAGCTAAACGTCCAAGAGAACCCTCAGCAAATTTGTGGATGACTCTGGAATATAGGAGCGAACTTCGGGTATGGTGTCCCAAACGACCGGGACGACTCGCATATTAGGCTCGCAGGAATGGCTGCGACAGGACGCTGTCAGTGAGGTGGAGAGGCTGAAAGTCACAACTGAAGGTCTACCCACTTCACAAACCTGGTCCAGTTTCCTGAAGATATGATATGTTCAGCGTGTACGCTCACAAGAACAAGCATAGCCTCAACTCACCGTGTGCATATCCATCGACAGAGTATCTTCCTGCGGACTGGTCTTCGTCATCGTCGTCATCGCCCTCATGAACGTCGAGATCGAAGATGTACGACTTGCGTCCATCACCCAGTGCGTGACGCTGTTCTGCAATCTCGCGAGTTCTGCGCATGCATTCATTCATCAGGGAGATATTTGCGGCGAGGACTGAGTTCGCACTGACATCAGCTCCCTGAGGTCTGTCTCGTCAGCAAGATATTGGAGCCCGAATGTGGAGACTAACCCAGTGTATACACCGATGACTTTACCTCTTGGGACGGGGACGGTTGCTCTCGCTCCCCATCCGTGGCTCTGTGTCAAGAATATCTCAATGGGCACGTCTCTGGGGAGCTGGGCGACACGGTTGTGGCATCTCTCATCGCAGGTGCAATTCTACAGACCTGTCAGAACGCTCGATCAGTAAGTGTCAACAAAGTAGCACTTACTTCGTTACACTCTATCACTTCCAAACCCATTCCGAGAGGCAGTTTAAAATTGAACAGCTTCTGCCTCAACACATGAGCAATGATAGCGCGCGAGGTGCCTTTGAGAACGTCCAACCTTTTTGTTGTAGGCAAAGATCCCATGACCATCATCTGTCTGCAACCCCGAGGGCTTCTGACACTCGCAGTCATCGGCGTCCAGACAACGTCTTTCGCATTCGCAACTGAGCAAGAATTCCCGTCGGTGTTCTGCCGAGCTCACACCATCAGCTCTAGAGGAACATGTTGCGGGTCAGTAATAATCGAGAATACGCTGCGTAGGATTGCCAGTCACCGAACATATCGCCGTTCGAGGTATTGGAAGTCTGGAACAAGAGGGGGGACCTCCTCGTAGCTGATGTCGTTCACGAAGGTAACAGGGGCGGCACCGTTCAGGCTCTCCGCCCATTTCTTCTCCAGCGGCCTGCGACGTTTTGTTTCCCGTGGCGGCGCACGCCTTCCTGTTTTCTTCTCCTCCTCTGAGTCCGGCGCCGGAGATGACGACGGCAGTCTTCGGAAAGATCGTTTTGGGAGGGGCTTTATCGGCCTTTGCGACGGTCCCGACGACGAGGCCCCTGATCCCGGTGTTTTCGATTTCTCTCTTGACGCCTCCCTGGAGGACTGCGCGACAGACGCGCTTCTGGAAGTCAATGTCTTAGATGCCGTGTGACTGTTGTTACGAACAGGTTTCAGCCGTTTCAGTTGCCCATCGAAGTCGATAGGTTGGCGCGGGTCTCCACGGATATACAGCTTCTTGAGTTCCTCGTACCCTCGCGCGCGTTCGATCGTCCGATTCTCGTGCAGCATGTGCCAATCTTCGACGTTTATCGCAATCGCAGGACTTGCCTTTGCCTTCTCCATCCGTTTCGCAGTTTGTTTCCGCTCCCATTTGTCAATGAGCTCTTCGAGGTCTTCTCGCGGGTGTTCCCACGTCGTGTTCGTGCCATCGTTGCGTTTCCACCCTTCTCCCCATTTTACCTATAGGTAGGCGAGTATGAATATCCAGCATGACACAATAGCAATCGACGCCAGAACCTCATATCTATGAAGCAATGTAAGCGGCTATATTACAAGCCAAGCATTGGCCTGTACCTCTTTTGACCGAAAGCGTCTATGCTCTCTCCGACAACCCCGTCAACGACCCATTCCCGATCTGTGTCGCCCCAGTCTTCTTCCGGCGAAGGAGACGGCAGATACTCATGCTCTGACATGTCTGGTCCGTCACTGGACGACTTTCCATAAGGATTTACGGCTCTACGAACGTCCGTAGATTTCTAGGCGGGGTTTGAAACAGTCTCTGGATCTTGGGCGCTAAACAGGCGGCATGTTCTGCTCATCATCAGCACGTGACTGGAGTGGCTTATGTCATGTCTGTATTTGGCATGCAGTTCGCTTTGTCATGATGGCTCCTTCCTTTCTCGTGGTCACGGCACCGTATGCCGAGGTCTACGGACTGTCTACGGCCTGTTACTATCGCGACCCCAGTGTTCGGACGACAAGGCGCCCACCGCATGATTCCTTTGATCTATGTACCTTCCTATCCTCCGATAACATTCATTTTTTGCATGCAAGCAGTCACATATAAAATTATGCTGCATGCCAAAGATGAGATATATTGGAGAAGAAATGAGTGTTAGAGAGGGGGGTATACAGGGCTGACCCCATTGTTCGGACGATTCTCCGCGCAGAAGGTCACGAATCGTCACGCTTGCCGAGCCCTGCCGGCCTTCGGGAATGTCCGTCATCCAACTTGATGAGCCTTAGCCGAGCAGCCTAACCAGGTCGGAGAGTGAAAATGTGGCTGCACTGTCACGCCCTCGAGGGCCAAGTCTTGTTTCTCCCATTTGTGCACCAGTGAAGGCTTCGGAGAATTGAGTCCTGGGTATCATGGGTGTGTATGAGTACGTCTGAGAAACATGAAAGGAAGCGCCCGAGGAGGAGC